CATTTTGACTTTGAATCTCAACATTGTGATTGTCAGCAAACTCACTTCCCTGTTTCCTTATCTTGAAAATAGGAATACTATTGATACTGCTTATTTGATAGGATCTTTGTCAGAAAACTTAATATTACTATTATTATAAAGTAGATTTTAAACTTCCTTGAAACAAAAATTTTATATTTTTTCTGTCTCATGGTGCTTAACACATTGTTACTGGCATTCAATATACATTGAATGCAGGGGTTCCTTGGACTACATGGTACAGTTCTAATAAATGCTTCCACTAACTCTTTTTTTTTTTTTTGAGGCAATTGGGGTTTAGTGACTTGCCCACACAGGTAGTAAGTCACACAGCTAGTAAGTGCCAGAGGCTGGATTTGAATTCAGGTCCTTCTCACTGCAGGGCGGGTGCTCTATGCACTCTGCCACCTAGCTGCCCCTTTCCTTCTGACTTTTGAAGCAGAGAATGTAATATTTTTTTATGCCCCCAAAAGAGGTAAAGCAAATGTGAGATATTAAATTGGAAATTTGAGGTAGCATACTAAAAAAAAATTATAATTTTATAATGCCAGTCCATTTATATAAACTGCTCTCCATATCTCTTTTTGGTGACTTAATAGAGATGTAGAAAAGGTAGCAGACCTATGACTGAAAATGATTGGTTTGTTGCTTTATAGCGATACTTGTCCAGCCTCAGACACTTAATAACTGTATGACCTTGGGTAAGTCACTTAGCTAAACCTCTGCCTCAGTTTCCTCATCTGTAAAATGGGGATCATAATAGCTCCTAACTCCCAGGGTTGTTGTGATGATCAAATGAGATAATTGTAAAGCACCTAGCATAGTGCCTGGCACTTAGTTGATACCATATAAATGTTAGCTGCTATTATTGTTATATTTGAGTCATTTCAGTCCCAAGCTTTTGGGGGAAACATTTAGCCCATTTGACCAAAACAGAAACTTTTTGCATCAGGTTCTTGGCAATAGCTGTGAAACCTTGGAGTATAATTTTTGGAAGCTGAATTCAGACTCTTCTTGGGAAACTAAGAGAGAGCTTGGCTTGCTCTGGTGTTTGGGGTGAGTGTGGCCTGTAATCTAGCCAATCTGAGCTGAAAAGTTATTATTTAACTGGATTTAGAAGCTTAAAAAGAATTGAGGAGTGGGATGGGTAGAGAATATCCACGTATGTTCCTGGATGGTCTCAGTGCCTTTCCATTGTGTTTCTTATACTGCAGACTTCATATTACCTCTTTGAAAAAAAAGGAATTAAAGAGATGAGATAATTAGTTCCCAAATGACTTGAAAGAGTTTGATGCAAATTATAATTCTAGCAACAATAGTTGCAAGCAAATGTAATAGGATTAGAATGTTTTCGGGCTTCTTTAACTGTGGGTCCTGGTCTTGAAAAATTTGCAACAGTAAAAGATTTCTGAAGGCGCAATGACCGAAAATTAATTAAAAATCAGACAGGTAATGAATCAGAGGTGTTTCTGGCAAGGCTTGCTGGGGTTGCATCAAGCACCTTCACTGCAGCTTCGGTTCTGAACAAGGAGCATGTGCACTTTGCACTGTCAGGAGTGGAAAAAGTTTAAGAAATGCTGGTCTAGATCATTCTCACTAGATTTTTTTCCCCCTAAATCACTTTACCTGTTTTTCCCAGAGGGAATAAAAAATTGTGTTACATACTCTTAGCTTGTTGGACAGTCAGACTCATACTCATAACCTTACCTTCTCAGTTTGGTCTGTGGTTGAGTGGTTTTTTTTGTTTTTTTTTGTTTTTTTTTGTGATGAAGCCTTTATTTGGGGGATAGAAAAGGGAATAATAGAGCTGGATCTGAGCAAGTGGGGGCAATAACCAAATAATCCTCATACCTTGAAATCTTTCCATTTGTGTTTAAATTCAGGACAAGTTAAAATTTAAGAAAATTCCTATAATAGTTCTTATTAATGAGGTACTTTACTTGATCCATTAGTTGTCAGTTGATAAAAGGCTTTTCCCTTCACATGGCTGAATTTTTAATGAAAGCTGAGGATTTCTTTTTTGTATACTTGATAAAAACTTTTTAGATTTTTTTTAACAGCTTCTTCCTAAGTAAATGATTCTTGGATGATCAAGTATAGTGAAACTGGCCTGCTTAGAACTTTTCAGATTATTTTACTAATCTAGATTTAACAGATTTTTGTTAGCATTTATGTAGATATAGAGTCCCTCCCATAGGGACAGATAATAAACTGGTTTCTGAAATTCTCAATTTTTAGCCTCTTGATAAAATGTTGGCAGCCCTGACTATGCTTCCTTTGGCCCTATCCTCTGATTTTTGGTACCCTTAGAATTTGACCTCTATCATCTTTGGAATAGGAAGTACTATGCAGAGCAAACACTACCTTTTGGTTAACAAACTGTATAAGGAGTTATGTTAGCACCATATTTTTAGGAGAGCCAATTGACCGGGTGACATGACAATTTTCTTTTCTCGTTTTAGAATCTAAATTGAACAGATGAGTACAGAAGTGAGTTTGTCACATACAACATGCTACTATTCCGTTTTGTCTCAAGATAGATTGTGAACTCCTTGGGAGCAGAGATGGTGGAGCTCGGCGGTGCGAAGTTCTTAAGAAATGCTTGATGCTTGACTGCTCAGGATTTAGGTTCTTTTTTCCAAAAGAAAACTAGGACATTAAGAACTTTCAGAATACTTTTCTTGATATAGAGAGGATAACGATCCATCTTGTTTAAAAGCAAAATTTAGATTTTTGTGGTTTTAAAACATTGTTTTCAGCATCTGACTTCTTTGGACAAGTTTCGAGGTGGGGGGTGGGGTAAGAGGGTTCTTGTATTTTGACTTTTTTTCTTTCACTTTTTGGATTCTTGGTAGATGACCCTAGTGGATGGAGTTGGGGTTGGGAAGACCTGGGCCAGAGGATCTGCTTTTATCTTTACCAGGGAGTGGTGTGACAGTGGGCAAGTCATTTCCCTTCTGAATCTTTGGGTAGTAATACCTACCTCATGGGGTTGTTAGGCTCAAGTTAGATGAGAGAGGCCAAGTGCTTTGCTGTCTCTCAAAAAGCACAATTGATAATTATTTTCTAATGTTCCTGACTTTGATATTTCTCCGCTTATACCTTGCTTTTGGAATATTTTCGCCAATTCTTCTGTTTTCCTAGATCTTCCCTCAGTCTTAGATGTGATATTATTTCTTAGCTGTTTTTCCTTCAATATCTTTACTTCCTAATGTGAACCTAGAGAATCTTCTGGAAAAATACCAAGTCTTGATGTATTACCTTTCTGTTTGGCTGTCCAGATTTCATTTCCCCAAATATTAGAATATCAATAATCTCTTCAGGACATTTGTCATCTTGTAGTTGATTTATTTTCCTGGGCTAAGATGTATCCCTTCATCCTGAAATCCTGCAAATATACACAAAAAGGAGGCATTGTGCCAGGTGCTGGGAATACACAGATGAAAAGCAGACAGTGCTCAGTCAGGCAGCTTCTCTGTAGTGTGAGAGAGAAGTATGCCGGTAGGTATAGATCACTGTGCTATAAAGCAGAACCATGGAGAATTCTCCTGGCTTTTCCTGGCTGAGAATTTCTGTTCTGACCCCCAGAGGTGGAGTTAGTCTTCGCTGATTCTTGTGGGTGCTTCCCACAGTGTTCTGGTACATTCCAGAGGCAAGTGCAGCTTGCATACTAGGTGAAAATTGTAGGAGTGTTCATCAGTTGGCCACGTGGGATGCTTGTTATCCATGAGATAGCAGTGTCTTCCTTCCTGCTTCAAGTAAACCCTAGAAGTTAGCCTCCCTTTGGACAGCCCAATTTCTGATTTCCCTTTTAAATAAGTTTTTCTCAGAATCTGGTTTTGTTAAACCCATTTGTTAGTACTCTAAGTTATTTTACAACCAGAATATATATGAGAGTTTTAGACTTTATAATAAAGGAATATTAGGGGATGTCATGATGCATTTCTTTTGATGCAGGTAGGGAAGATATTTTTAAAGATATTTTAAGAGAGAGGTTTGAGAGTAGAGGAGAACTCTGGAATTGAGCTGGTTACTCAAGGGCAGAGATTAAGGAGGGAAGAAAGTGAAGTTAGAGGGGAGAGTAGAGTTGGAGAAAGTGTTGAGGGTAGCAGGGTGGGGATTGGAGGCCCTGAGGAGCCCAGAGAATAATTTTAGAAGGGGCAAGGCCTAGGGAACCTTGAATGATAGGAGGTTTTGGCCAAATGGAGGCATATCAGAGGTTTTGATCTTGGAAATTGAAACAGGAAGAACTGGTTAATGGTGAGACTTAGGGCATGACCTTGTTGTCTGTGACTGTCCCACAGTGGAGATTAGGTTGAAAGTTTTGAGGAGATTGAGGAACTGGGAGGTTAGAAGGGGAGAAAAGGGGCAGAGGCAACAGAGATGTATGGGGACACCCAGGAAACCGTAGAGCAGCTCTTGCCTCACAGCCCGGGTTCCCTATGCCCTGCTTAAGCTTCCTGGAGGCCAGCCAGTCAGCTTGGGGCCCTGGCAGTGGGCAGTGGGCAGTGAGCAGTGATGTGACTAATGCGGGGAGTTGTTCCAATGAGAAACCATCTCCATTCAGCTTGCCTGTGTACTCTTAGCCACGCATTAGGGATAATGAGCTGGAGGATTATGAGCAATCCTCAGGATTGGATAGGTAAGACATCTGTCATGGGTTTTTTTAGTGCTATATAAGAGAGAATTTTTTTCTTTAACTTGTGAAATATATTCTTTTGTGGAACATTGTGTGTTTTCACCTGCTTTGATTTTTGAAAGGTATAATCTCAAAAATTAATGCAATGATTCTAGGAAGAATTATTAAGATAATGAGACTACTTCTTCCTGTGTCGAATATGAGCATATTAATCATTCTTTACTGAAAACCGAAGATAAGTGGTAGGGATTTAATTTGTAGAAATTCTGGACAGCATCACCTATTTTTGGTTTTGAAATATATGTTCTCTTTGCATGTCTAGACTTTACTTTTTGTTTCTCAGGTTGCACGTTTTAAAAAATTACCAAATGGTGAAAATGAGACAATGATTCCTGTATTGACATCAAAAAAAGCAAGTGAATTACCAGTCAATGAAGTTGTAAGCATTCTTCAAGTAAGTGACGGAGTGGGATTCTGGCTACTAAAAAATAAACAGGTTAGACTGTGATACTATTCAGTCAGGATTATGGGAACTCTATTACTGTTACTGAAAAATGGATTTGACAAGGTCAGTTTGTATTATTTGACATAGTTGCTTTTTAAAAATCCTGTTTTGACTTATAATGATATTTGTAAGAGCAGGGTAAAAGTGGAGTTCAGATATATTCTTAAAAGTAATTAAACATGTTTTATTTATATTCTTACTAAGATAATCTTTTTTATATACCCTCTCCTCACTAAATCTTATATAGAAAATGTTATTCCTTTGATATGAGGAGACTTTAATGTATCCTGAAATGATGATAGAAGATAGTTTTAAAAATTGGATTTTTTTTCGTAGTAGTCACTTAGTACTAATGTTTATTGATTGATATTTATACACCAAATTTTAAAATCACCTCAATTGGTAAAGTAATAATGTAGCTTAGGATTTGTGATCTAGGATGAGTTCTAGCATAAAGCCTTTAACCAGGGAAAACTACTTACTCTTGAGTTGCAACTGCTTCTTTAGTTTTGTTGTTATTGACAGTGACATTAAGTCGTAAGAATTGACGTCAGGATGTGAGGAATGTGATTAAGTGTCTTCAAGTCCCAAGATACAGCTTATTTTATGTTTTCTATTAATTAGGTTGGGAACATGTACTGTTTGCTGGTGGTGATGGCTTTCTTCTCTCCAGGAGTGGGGATCTCTTTTCAATTCAGTGTTTGTGATTGGGATCCTGCAAAGAAAAGAGTCTATGAACTGGGCCTTGGTGGTTTAGAGAATATTCAGTTTTTCCTGTCAGTTTTAGGGAAAAGATTTTACAAAGAATTTACAAGCTAGTACCTTCCTTTTTACAGAGCTTGTAATTGACTTCTGTCATCTCTCTTCCTTCATTGAGGAACGAAAGAGCTTAACTAGCATGGCATTAGACTTTATTATAACAGTTTACTCTGCACAATCCAATAGGCTGATCTTCAGAATGGTCTAAACAAATGTGAAGTGTGTCACAGGCGAGCTTTCCATGGGTGGAATGAATTTGATATCAGTGAAGATGAGCCGCTGTGGAAGAAGTACATCTCTCAGGTAAGACTCTTCCTTCTTTGTTTTAAAACAAACTTCAAACAAATCTCTCCTCCCTGTAACCCTCACAGGCATTGTCAGAAGCTCTCACTGCATCTTCATTTTGAATTTTTTCTCTTCGTGGTACAAGGTACTGGTGGTGTAGATTTTTATTACAAGAGGATTGTTGAGTTGAATCTTAAAATTCTCATACCAAGAGCAATCATTTCAGATGGGTATCTTCACATAGTAGTTGGGAAACATAAATGAAGATGAGTTGAAATATTGTATGTAATTGAGGATTCCTTATAGAGTCACCATAGCCATTATACAAGGGTAATGGACTGTCTTTAGCAAATCATTTGTCCCGGTGTCTAAAAGATCTTTCTTATTAATTTGTGTGCATGACAATGTGAGTTAGAGGGTGCAGTAATAAGATTCTGTATACATTTTTGACTGGTAGAGTTAGTTTTGAAGGAAACACTACATTTTTTTTAACACATTAATAAAGATGAGAAGCTTTCTTCATAATTTTTTATAGCAGATTCTTATTTCATTTGACTAATAAAGACAAATAACTTGATTTGATAGTGTATTTACCTGCCTCTCCTCTACTAGTTAATGAAAAAGGTTTGCTCAATGGGAAAACTGAACTTGGCCTACCCACCACTCGTGGTTTCTTGAGTGGCACAGAAGAAGAACGTGGGAGGTGACTCAGTACCAGGATCCTGGTGCCTCGCTTTTGTACCTTACTGGACCCAAGTCAGCCCCCTTCCCTGAAGTGCCTTTTGCTAGACCCCAGGAGAAGGTAGAAAGTTTAGCTAAGACAAAGGCCCAGTTTTCATGAGAGGCCACGTCTAATAGAAGAATAAAAGCAAAACACAGGTGACTGTTCACAGTATTATTGCAGGCCCAAGTTCATGTAGCCCTCAGGGTTGCCAGGCCCTGTGCTTCTGATCTCCTTTCTCAGGCCCATGGGGTCGGAGGTGCCTTTAAAGGACGATTAGAAATTCAGCAGAAAGGGAGTGTGTTCTAGGAAACAGTAAGGCTGGAATACAGCATGTGCGAAGGGGAATGATAAAATCCTTGAAAGGTGGGTGCTAGGTTGTGGCGTGCCTCGAATGCCAGGCAAAGGACTGTGACCTTAAAAATCTTCAGTGGCAACAGATGCTGTGTCATATCTGTGATACTGCTGTGGCCTTATTCCCTAAGAAAATTGCAGCAATCCCTGCTGTCCTTCCTGTTGGTGCTCCTTATGGCAGAGGGGGCTTCTGTGTAACTTGGGCTGTGCGCAGAGATGCTAAGGAAGGGCTGTAGGTGGATGGGTGTGAGATTTGCCTCCCCAAACCCACCTTCCAGGTGTTCAGTCAGAACCTTTCTGCCTTTTTCTCCTGCCTCATCCTCGGAAAATTCCACAAGAGCTCACCACCATCCCTGTAATTTCACAATTAATTAAGTTCTTTCTCAGCTCTTTTCACTAGCCAGGCTACCTAGAAGTACTGCTGTGGTACCTGGAGGGAGGGCTGACAGCTGTGTTGGGGTGCCAGCTTGGACATTTCCCTGGTAGAAGACAGTTTTTGTTTATTTGGAGTAGCAGGTTCTGAGTGAATGTGCTTGTATTGCACAAGACTTCTGCTCAAAATAGAAACGATTCCCAAAGTGGACCATGGTGGTGGATCTGCCTCAGTTTCCCCTTAGAATGTTTTCCGAGGTTGGGAATCTGTTCCAAAGAACTTTGTTCTTGTTGAATGGAGTTCAGCTGCTAATTGTTTTACTTTTACTTTCAGTTTAAAAATCCCCTTATAATGCTGCTTCTGGCATCTGCAGTCATCAGCGTGTTAATGCACCAGTTTGATGATGCCGTCAGCATCACTGTGGTAAGAATTAGAAGGGTTTTTGGAATGGGAATCTGTGCTGAAGCAGAGTTTAGTTTTTCATTTTGATCATGCTTGAATTCTAACAAATTGAGACATGCTTCTTGCTTAATATTGTTCCATGGTTTGAGGAAATTAGTGTACAAATTCTCTTACTCATAATAACGACCTTCTCAAGGGTCCAAAATAGTTCTTAATGTAAAATCTTATTTATATGTGCCAGATTTGGAGTATCATATTAGTCATAGATTGATAGTGTATACTTTTAAACCAGATTATTGTTCCACTTTAAAAATTAACCATTTTTAACTACCCTATTGTAGATTTCATTTTGTATGACTATGAGATAAAGGCCTGATTATTGCTAAGTTAAAAATAAAAATTTTTCAAAACTATAATTTGCATTTTAAAGTTATTTTATTTCTATCCAACTTCTGTTTGCCCTGGTTGATTTTCTGATAGGGACTAGTCACCTAACTTTTAAGTAATTTGTGACTTCTTAGTTGTTCTCTTGCCCCTTTTCCCGTAAATTAGATGCAAAGTTTTAGCCCCTTTACCCTGTTTACAAGACTAAAATATCGAAATGTTCTTATTATACCGATGAGGCGAAAGAATAATGGATATAGTTAAGAGAAGTAATTTTACATGAAAAACGTGCATTATAGATGAAGTTTATTGACTTCAGGAAGAAAACTCTGTAATTGTTTGAAAGTTACTTTGCCTTATTTCTTTTGTCAAATGTGCAGATAAGGTACAGTTGCATGTATTTATATAAACAGTACTGGTGTGAGTGGTTTACAATCAGAGCTGAATTTGCTAGTGAGACCCTGGGGTTGGCTGCCTTCACCAAAGAACCAAGGCCCAGCTCTTGAGACTGAGCCAGACTTTGCTGGGCAGACAAGGCCCATATGCTGCCCCCTCCCCAACTTCTATGAAGTGTCCATTCTGCTCCCCAGTCACATGGAAAATGCCTCATTTTCCACGGGGGCAGTAAAGCCTCATCTCGTATAGTAATTCTCAAGATGACCACAACCATAAGCAAAACTTTTAATTTGTTATTATATAAATTCCAGGAAGGCTTGCCCTGCAGCGCCCAAGGCAGCTCCAGGACTCAGAGTTGTAGAAATGCCTTGGAAAAGAGAGTTTCCTCATCTGGAAGGTCCCTACACCAATGAAATCACACATATGAGCACTGTCTGTGTGTAGAGATGAGCACTAAATTGAAGAGATATTAAATATTGATTCTTTTTTGAGGATAACTTTCCTTTTGAAAAGACTAACTGCTTTTATGTTGTTGGTTTTTTTTAGGCAATACTTATCGTAGTTACAGTTGCCTTTGTTCAGGTAAGCAGCCTGTTTTCCTAGCATGAAAATGGACATTTTAATCAGCTTTTGATAAATGAGGCATGATGTGGGAAAAGATGCTTAATTCTGTGACTCCCTTGAAGGCTAGTAAAATGAGTGAGGGATAGACAGTTTAGGAGATAAGTAGTCTAGCAAATGTAATGAACCCACTTAGGTTTTTTTATGGTTGCAATGAAGATTATTTGTTAATTTAATTAATTTATTTCTTTATTTTTAACACTCTTTTCTTTTTAAATTTTGAGTTCCATATTATTTCTCTCCCACCCACTTCTATCCCATCCACTGAGAAGGCAAACAAAATTGTATCAATTATATATGTGAAATCATGCGAAACATATTTCAATATTAGCCATATCACAAAAAAAAAAGAAAGCAAAAAAAATTGCACTTCAATGTGTATTCAGAGTTGATCAGTTCTCTCTCTGGAGGTATTTCATCATAAGTCCTTTGGAATTGTCTTGGATCGCTGTATTGATCAGAGTAGCCACACGCTCAACTTTTTAAAATATATAGAACAAAACCATATAAATAGTAAAACCGCAGAAATATAGCTGGATATTTTAAAATTCTTTTTCTTCATCTGATCGTGTCTTAGAACTTCAATAATTCTGTTACTTTTCATTTTTGACAGAGTTAAGGCAGCTGGAAAAAGCCAGTAGGGAAGGTAGAAATCAGTGGGTTTTTATGAAGAGACCATTTGGAGAAAATTCTATAGATTTCTGTGACTAAAAGAATAATGACTAATCCATTTAGTAGAATGATACACTTGTTTACTGAATTCCTTTTTTAAAACCTAAGCTGCTTCTGATCTGGGGTAGGGGGGACTGTTGTTCTCCTTACACCAGCAGTGGGATGTTCTGATCTGATCAAAGAGAGGTTCCCACTGACTTAGGATATGAAACAAAAGCTTAGCGTGTGATTTTGAAGAGCAGCCTCCGTGTTTTTGAGTTGGTCTAACAATGCAGAAATAAAAATGCTAAGATTTTCTGTTGTTATTGATGAGCGTAGGTGTAAACAAATATAAACTAAGTTTTATCTAAATGTTAGCTTGGAAGAATATTGCTTCATATTGTCATATCTAATAATACCTAAATATTGACGAACAATGGCTCAGAACCTGTGATTGAGAGGGGCGTTTGTTATCTTACCTGAATGTCATAATGCACACAGATAATTGAATCACTGAATTAGGACCTTATGAGCTCATTCATCTGCACCTCAATTTCATGCTGTTCTGTGGATCTTAAATTTTATTTTGGTTGATTGAAATTCTGGCATGTTAATAATTCATCTTTTGTAGAACTTTTCATCAGTCTCATGGCCTGCAATGCTGATTTCACTGCTTTGTGAATTGTTCTATACTTCATTGCAATATGATATGAAAACCAATCAAAATCAGATCATCAGAACCTAGCCTGCCTGTGAGCTGCATTAATAACTTCCTTAGAGCTTCACATGTTCAGAATCTGCTTAGCTTCCATAGAGTGGGCTACAGCAACTGAAGGTGGCCTTAGGATCGCAGTGTAGCGCCAGTGACGAAAAGCAAAGTCATTGCCCCTTCGGAGGAATGGAGGGCTCTTGTCCACAGTGACCAGACCTTTGAACCTCATGCATTTCCAACCATATTTCACATTTATATGAGCCCTTCAAAGGGCTTCGGACAGATTTGCCCACTCGTCTCTGAGGCAGGCGTGTGATAGTACATTAGTTTACTCCTTTTGATAGAAATAGAGAAAAGCCACCATGGAACAACTTCCTCTTTGATGTTCACTCTGTTAAAACGCATTGCCCAGTCAGGATCATGGTGGCTGTTGTCAGTTCATCCAGTGCTCAGCCCCTTCTCCTTTCCTTCTTGGCTCTCTCTGCTCTCCTACTTCTATCCTTGTCCTGGGGGACTTCAGCATACCTGTTAATGTTCCCTGAGACACCCTTACCTCCCAGTTATTTAACCTCTTCACATCCCAAAACTCCTGTCCTCCTCCACCTCAGCCACACACAGAGATGACCAAAACCAAGAGCTTTTTGTCAGCACCCACGTAGTCCTCTTCCTTTGTTGCTTAATCCCCTGGAGACTTTTCTTCATCCTCCCTGTGAGCTCTGATCCCTCCGTCCCTCAGTGTCCACGTGGGTCATTACCCTGGATTTTATTTGCTTCCTTAGAGATGGTAGGCTTGGAGTCAGAAAGGTCTGTTTGAATTTCATTTCAGATACTAGCTTTATGATTCTGAGTCATATGAGTTAACCCCTTTTCACCTCCATTTTCTCATCTGTAAAATGGGTATAACCACAGCACTTACCCCAGGGTTGTTGTAAGGATTGACTGAGATGATACAGGGTGTCCCTTAATAGCCTAAAACTGCACTAAGATTTTAGGGGCATCCTGCATGTAAGCACAGCACTTTGCAGACCTTACGGAACTTTATGAACTGTTACTTTTCTTCTTAGTCTTGACCCTGGAGTCTGGGAGTTCAATTCCATCCCATTCTCTCCTTTGCCCTTTTGCTGCCCATGCCTTGCCAACCCCCAGTCCTACCCTGCATGGAATTGGTTTGATTGGATCTCCAACAGCTTTATCTAACCTGTGCCTTTCACAGCAAGGTAGCTGTTCTCCTCCTCTTTCGGCTTCTCCATTGTCTTCATCCTCATGTTTTTTGACTGAGAACTTCACCATCACCATATACTTTACTGAGAAGAGAGAGGCGGTGAACTGTCTGCTCCTTTCACTCCTCGTCTCTTAGCAGTCTGGCTCCTGGCCTTATCCATTGAAACTGCTCCCCCCAGAGTGACTCGTGATCTCTGAGTCTCCAGATCCTCTTTGCCCTCTCTGCTGTGTCTGTCGCTGCTCACCGTGCTCTCTGAGGTTTTCATGACCCTCTTCTGTCCTAGTTCCCATCTTACATATGTGTCTTATCCCTCTTGCTGGCTCGTCGCCCCCATCACACCCCAAGGCTCTGTCCCAGGCCCTCTTCTCTCATCACTCTCTTTTGGTTCTACAAAGGACTCACAGAGCTATGTGTTTGGTCTCAGTCTTTCCTCTTAGCTCATATCCCATATTATCAACCCAACCACCAGACCTTTTAAACCTGTTCTCCTCTGGAGATCTCGGACCTAACGTGTCCAGAACAGGACTCAGCTTTCACTTCTTCTGGATGTCCATCTGTCTGCTGAGTATACCCCCATCCTTCCGGCCTCCTGGGTTCATAACTTCAATGTGGCCTTTGACTCTCAGATACTTCGACTCTAGTCAGTCTTCCACGTGGCTACTAAAGTGATTTTATTTTACTTAAGCAAAGATCTTATCACATCACTCCTCTACTAAAGAAACTCATTGTCTCTAGGATCAAATAGAAACTTTCCTCTTTGGCTTTTAAAGCCCTCTACAAATCGGTCCTGACCTGCCTTTCCAGGTTCATTCTGCTGGGCGGCATGCTGCTATAACACTCTGGTCCAAACCAGGTTAAACTTAATTGGGAAATATTTAACAAAGTACATAAAAGTACAATAAACCATTGATAATGTTATGTGTGGTTCTGAGTTGGCGTGTGGCCTGCAGGGATCCTCATACGTGGTTTAGTTGCCTGGTGTCTTCTTCAGCCTGACATCCGTGGTCTAGCCCAGCTGCCCTTGGGGCTCTTCACATGGAGCATGCTCCATGTAAAGAGCAGGCACTCCCACCTCTGCTTTTGCACTGACTGTGCCTTGTTTCTAGAAACACTTATTGATTAACAAATCCTTAGTGTAGTGCCTTGTTACTCGTATGGGCATGTCCAGCATGCCTGTGGCACGCTGTACTTCCTTGAAAATGACTTGGTTGAAAGCTTATAATCTACATTGATGTATGGAACGAATTAAGTAAATAATTATAAATGCATTTTAAAATTTCCCATGGACAGATGTAATTGACATTAAAATTAGAATTTGATATTGGAGCCCTATTGAGATAGAGCTTTTTATTATTGAAATAATATTTATTTTTGTATCATTGACTTTTCCTTAATAAGTCCCATTTTGTGGAAGGGCCTTTGTTACTCTATAACTCTAATTTTGAAACAGGATGAAGGAGGGAGAGTCTGGTTTGTGTACATTATATTGGTTTCAGGATGTACCATTTTATGCTAGATCGTTATTAGTTTGGTGTTTAGTATGGAACCTGAAAGCTTTAGAAAGCTTGTGTTCAGTTGTGTGTGAATCTGGTGGTGGATTCTTGTATTCCCCATAAATGGTGGCGACCAGTGTGTGGGGGTGCTTTTGTGTGGCTTCCTTGATCTCTTTGGTTCCCCATCTCCTCCTAATCCCTGAGAGAGACTGTTACTATTTCAGATTGGATGAATGACTGGAAAGCATTTGTTTAGTGCATAGTTTGTGGATTGTGGCCTGGTCAGTGGGGGAGGGTCACAGGTTTTTAAAAATGCAAATGAGATAGTACCTCTTAGTGTTGGCAGCAGTTGTAACACTGATTTAATTATTGTTCCCAGAAGAAGAGATGGCTGGTGGGCCCTGGAGAAGAGGGATGGCAGCGAGATGAATGGGATGGGGTGGGCGCATTCCAGGCGCTGGCCAGATGAAGTGAGTCTTGTGAGTTTGTGTTCCAGACTGGCAGTGAATTACACCTTCCAGGCCATGGTGTCTGGAGGTCCATGCTGCGGTCCACGGGGCTGTGCCGGGGTGGATTGGCAGTCTGCCAGCTGACTCCTTCCGCGGCGTGGCTGGACTCACACTCAGTGATTGCCCCAGGCTGATGTCTCATACCAAGGGCCTGCCTGGGTCCCCCTTGGGAAATTGCCTCAGAATGACCCTGCCAGGGGATTTTCTCCAGGCATCTCTGCCCGCAGGGGTCTGATGACTGTGAGTCAGATGTGGGTGGCCAAAATGGATTAGCATGCTCAGGAATGCTGCTGATAGCTTCAGCCTCCTGGGGTGCAGATCCCGGCTCTTTGCTTTGAGGCCCACTTCAGCATTCTGAAGATCTGGAGGGAGAAAAGGGGGGTCTGCTCCTGGAACGAGATAAGGGGAGGTGACCGGGTAATGGTGCACTTGTGAAAGTCCTTTTAGCCAAAATTGCAGGGTTGAGGTAAAGACTTAGACCGAACTGCTGGGGCTCTTTCTCCCCGACAAGAAGTGATCGTCAGGACAGTGGGTCAGACCCTCAGCTTGTCCTCTGTCCTTGCCTGGTTTATTGTGTTTCTTCTTCAGTTGTGGGGGAGGACTTTCTGGTATTAGGCCGCCAGGTAGTGGGGGAGATGGTGTCCTCCATCACAGCGTTGTGAAATTGTGGTGGTTCCTGTTTATATTTTTATCGTCTAGAAAGCTATAAATAGATACTTAGTATAGAAGTGTAGGTGTCATTCAAGTTAGGGAAGATTTGAAAGGAGGAATGTGATTGTGTAGCTCCTTGGTTTGCATGATTAGGATCTATTGACCAGGGCATTTGTGTCTCCTGGCCTTATTTTGGGGTAAAAGTGCAAGGTCTTGGGTCCTGGATAATTGCATGTTTACATCGAGATAAGATTTTGCTCAGCCACAAGCACCTTGGAGATTCCCTTTGGCCTAGGAGTTAGCTTAGCTCTCTCTAGGTTATTTTTCCACATGGCCTGAACTTTTGGCCCAAAGTCAGGCTGAAACCAGCCAGTTCTGATGTAGAGTGATTCTCTACTGGACTTCCTGTGTTAGCCCATGGAGCATCAAGTGTCCAAATGGGACCTGTGACCCATACGTTCACAGAGGGGTGGCGCGGACAGTCCAGGAGAGCACATGGGGGACAGGGATGGCTTTGCCGTCTTCTTCAGCCAGAGGGGAAAGGAAGCTCTGCTCCCTCCAGGCCAGGCCCTGAGATTCATTCTCTCCCTCAGTTTGGTTGTGTGAGAGACTGGGCAAAAACAGAGGGAGGCTTGTTCTCATTTAATGAGCTTATGTTCTTCCTTTGTGATCTTGTGAGGAAAATTAAATTTATAGTGTCTTCCAGTCCTTATAAGGATGGCAGCATGCCAGTCTTTTATTTCTACCGTCTCTCTCCATTGAACCCTGACTAGAATATTATTTGAAATGAATTTCCATTGTGATGATTTTTAACAATTTAAAATGTCTGAATTTCTTACTGATTAGTATTCTTAATTTTTTCATAATTTAAGTTAGGGATCTGTATCAAATACTCATCTTCATAGTTTTGGTCAAATTGGATGACAGATAATGACAGACAAGTTTGTTAAAGCTAACTATAATTTACTGTAATTTAGTCTTTTTCACAGGCTTCTTTGGGGAATATATGTCCTCAGTGAAAGGAGTATGTAGAATTGAGGAGAGTTCCAGATTAGTGATGGAGATGAAAGCCTTTCTAGTTGACTGTCGGTGATTACTTAGCGGGTTTTTTAAATGGTACGATGTGCTACTACTTTACAATTATATTGTGCTTGACCATTTTGTAGTATGAGTGTATCAGTTGCATTCTTTGGCCCCCACAACATCCTGATGGTTAGATGGTATTTTTCAGATGAGGAAACCAAGGCTCAGAATTTGTATGAAGATAAATCTTTCATCCTTTGATTTGTATTTCTCATTTTAACAGGAGTATCGTTCCGAAAAATCGCTTGAGGAATTGAGTAAACTTGTACCACCAGAATGTCATTGGTAAGACTTTTGTTTCTGACATGAATGTCCCTTCCCTTTTAAAATAGAAGTCAAGAGTTAAACTCTTTAGAATGAATTCATCATGAATCTAGGTTTATCTAATAATATAGAAGATATTGATTCAACTTGAGGAAAATGTTATATTTACTACACAGAAATGTAGAAGTTTTGAAACCATGTACTTAATATTAAACTTAGATGTTTTAACTTAATTTAGAGCATCTTAAAATATTGTTATGCCCCAAGTATAGTTTCTGCTGCAGAAGACAAAATTTTTCTAATTCTCAGTTTTTAATTTCATATTTTAGGTATTTCGTTTCTTAAAATTATTTCCTGTCATATGAGCCATCTTAATGATCAGCAGCACGGAATGTGTCCTTACTCTTATTTCTAATAGGTGATTAATAATAATATGATGGTCATAGTGGCTTTTGTCTCACCTTGCTGAGAAGATTTCTTTTAAAATGAGCAGTGCTCTCTCAGTTCTGGCTAATTGTATTTTTAATTATAGTGTGCGAGAAGGGAGGTTGGAACATACGCTTGCACGAGATCTGGTTCCAGGGGATACAGTTTGTCTGTCTGTAGGAGACAGAGTCCCTGCTGACCTACGCTTGTTTGAGGTATGTATCTTCCTTCTGTGGGAAGGAAAAAAATTGAGTGACATAGACCCAAAATGAGAAGAAAATGATAGTTCTAGGGATAAAAAAAAAGTTTGCATTTGGGTGTGAATTCTTGATCTCTACCTTAGGAACGTCCAATTTGGGAAGTATGTAAATAGCTGGGAGGTTTGTAATAAATTTAAATTCCTGTAGAACTTGATTGGAAATATGCTGGTAGACTGAGGAAGTCTGGAAAAGACCTTTTCAACTTTAAATAGGAAAGGCCTTTAATCCTGAAACAAACAGCATCTTTTTGCAAATGAATTCATGGGCTTCAGCCCCTGCAATGTTAACTGTTTTGCTTTAGTTTGATGGTTCTAAATAATGAAGCATCTGATAGCATGTACCTGCCAATCTTGATTTATTTTTTCTTATGCTGATTTTTTTAGGGTTAATTTTATTTTGTTCTTTTTCCTTCCTTGCCCTGTTCCTCTAAACTGGTTTCCTTCCATCTACTCACTTCTTTCTTCCTGGTGAAATGATGATGTCCCACATAAAAAGGCAATATAACAAAATGTGGATTTCTTTATAAAAATTGAATGGAATAACTGAAAATTATACTTGACTTTGGAGTATGTCTTGTTAGATTAAAAAAATTTTTTTTTGAGGAGGAAGAGGTTGAATCTTCAATTTAAGTGTTATGCAGTACATAAAGTTTTGAAAGTTCATCCATCAGTGCAAATCACAACTTACTGTAACAAGGTCTTAGAGGGCAGCTAGGTGGTTCAGTGGAGAGAGCACTGGGCTTGGAATCAGGAAGACTCATCTTCATGAGTTCAAATCTGGCCTCAGATGCTTCAGTTTCCTCATCTGTGAAATGAACTGGAGAAGGAAATGGCAATCCGCTTTGCCAAGAAAATCCCAAATGGAGTCAGGAAGAGTCAGACACACCTGAAAAACAACTGAACAGTAACAACCAAAAGGTCTTAGAAAGTTGCCTGGAGAACTGGGAGGTTAAGGGGCTTCCTTGACAGTATAATTCACATAGCTAGTATGTTTTCGAGTCTTCCTGACTGCAGGACCACCCCTCTGCCTACAGTGCCAGTCTTTGGTAAACTGAAAACCACACTAAGACTTTTGGGAGGTCTGAGGTTTTAATATTTCTGTTTAAATGTGGACATATCAGATGTTTCAGAGAGTCCAATACTTCTCTTTCCTCTCATTCTCTTCCATTGTATCCCCATATAGCCTGGGATTTTTTTTTTTTTTTTTCGGTAAACATAGTACTTCACTTCTTGTGCCAGGAGCTCATTGGAAATTGGAATGTTAATTGGTTCTTGCCATCCCGGCTTTTTGCACAGTTAGAGAAAACAAAGTTGTTTCTATGCTAAAACATTAAGCAAAAGCATTATACAGTTAGTGAGGGTTGAAATAGAAGATATTCTAGAAACGAGGGATTGGCAACGGATGGTTTGAGTTGTATTTGTAAATTTTTTGTGACGTTGGGCTTAACGTCGATGGGGAGTCATGGTGAGACCATTCCTGTTCATTTTCTTTTTTACACAATTGTAATAACTCTGCTACCTAGGATTTGCACAGTGCCTTATCCTTTTCTTTTGTAAAGTACTCCATTTGCAAAGTTTTTACGCTTTTTGGATAATTGTACTTTTTATAGTCATTGCCACTGAAAGATCTTACCCTACTTCCCAAATGGTTTTACATAGAAATGATGGCAAAAAGTGTAATCTTGCTGAAGACATTGTAGAGTTTGAGTAACAACAATAATAATAATAACGAACATCTACCTAGCACTTGAAGGTGTGCAGACCTAACGAATTATTGGCACGGGAGGGAGGGAGGACATCCCCACATTGGGGGAAATGTGGAAGTAAACAGCCTTCAGAAGACTGGGGCCTGTCAGGTCTTGGAGACAACTTTCTCTTTTCTCAGGTAGGAATGACTTTAATTATTTTTCCATGAAATAGTTTGATTAACTAAGGGCGTTATTATACCCTAGTGAGATTACTCTGCAAACAATTGGAAGTTTATTTAAACTATTTGGGACTAAGAACCATTTATTTAAAAGACAAAATGAGGAGAAAAATCTAACTTTTCTCAATTGAAGAAGATAATTGTTTCATTTGTCAAGAAACCCTTACAAAGTTGCCAGGTTTGATTTTACAAAAATAAAACAGATAAAAAGTATAAAGCTGAGTTAAAAGCAGATTAGGGGTGATAGTGGAATATTTACATTAAACTCAACTGAGAAAATCTTGATTCCAGGATGTACCTGGAACTGGTGGTACAAGTCTGTAAGGTTAATCAATACTCAGGCTCCAATGGTAGACATTTTATACTAGAGGAAACCTAATAGTAAACACTTAGAAAAATCTTTAGCCTGACATATATAAATGCAGCATGATCCATCTGGCCTATACTAGTTCATATTCCATTAAATTAGCAAAAATAAATGCAAGTCATAAAATCCAGGGGACAGTACCACGCGGAAGTTGGGTGTAGTACTTTTTACTGATCTCAATTACTGCCAGCAATTTTTTTTTTTGAGAACAAGATGACAGGATATATCGAGTTGTAAAAAATTATTATTCTTTTTGACCTTGTAATTCCCCCCTTTTTGAATATTTTCAGAGGTGTTCAAAAAAATGAAAAAAGTTCAGAAGCAGAGGGGGAGAGTACCTCATTGATAAAAGATGCTTTTAGCCCTAACTGCTCTGCATGTAACAATAAAGGGCTAGAAAAAAGAATTGCCAGTGGCTGAGGAATAGCTAAACAAATGTTGACATGTTAAAGAAGTGGAGAGGTTTACTGCTGTTGAGAATAACAAATATGAGGTCTGTGCAGAAGCATCAGACACTTTCTAAAGGTCTAGTATGTGCTAGGCAGGCACCAGAGCTACGAAGACAAAAATGACCTGGCCCCCGTCCTCACGGAGCTTCTGTGGGGGAAGACGGCCTATACACCTCTAAGTGTAGAGAAAATCACTACTGGATGACTTTTTGGGGAGAGTGTACATTTACAGCTGGGAAGATTAGAGAGGCAATTCTGAGTGAGATAAAAACAGAATCGTATTCATGTGTTTATTATAGGTATGTAAAAACATTTACACAAGTTGTAAGAATTGGAAGTGGTTATTCTTAATTCAATTTTATTCATTTCAGTGAACCTGGCAAGTTTTGAAAGGATTATTTGAGGTTAACAATGACTCTCTTGTCTCTAGTCTGACTTTAGGGGGAGAAAATCGCTTGAGAACTATTGATGGGAATCCTTTTTACCTCTGGAAGGATAGATAACCTCCCATGAGGATGTTGAGGAGTGTAATTAAAGAGCTTTGATCGTTCTTGCAGTTGTTAAAAATGGAAGAATTGCATGTCTACATTGACCATCTTCTGACTTCTCCCTGACATTCCTCAGATGAGCCTTTTCTCCTGGTCCTCGAGTTGTGCCGAGGTGCTAGGTCTGAAGGGGTTCATGTCGGGCCGTGCCAGGAGCACAGGCTCATTTATGATGAGAAGTGAGGTTTCTCTGTGCATGGCTTTTTTCCTTCCACTGCACTGAAAGAAGCCCTTCTTTGGCAGCAGTGCAACTGGCCTTGGGGCACTCAGAGCGAGGGCCTCCTAGTGAGTTTGGGGTTAGCAGTGGAAGATGGGGTTTTCTCCTTTCTCCTCCCATGATGGCACCCAGATTGTCAAGTTGCCTCTGGGGCGAAGAGTTTTCATAAATGGGTTCATAGATTTCTTTAGGGTGCATTCTACATGTATGCATGAATGAATGAATGAGCATGCATTTATTAAACACTTACTATCTGCCCAGCACTGGAATAAGTGCCAGGGATACATACACATATGAAAGCATCTTATCTTGCAAATCTGTACATTAACAAAGCAGGATATATCCCCAGGTCCCCTGACCTAACTCTAGGGCTCTTTCTGCTGTTTCCTTGTATTACTTATAATTGCAACTGAGAATTTGAGTTACAATATCATTTTTTTTCTATGATATCAGTTTTAATTGTTTTATTTAAACTTGGCAAAAGTAAATGATTATAAACTTGGATGCTTTCATTTTAGGAAACTAGTATTAATAATAATCACTGAATATGTATCCCAAACAGGCTTGTGAATGTGATACTGGCCTTTTAGCCCCTTTTAACCATGTCGGGCTGAGCAGTATACTTAACTCAGAGATGCCAGTTCTTGGATGGACTTTCCAGAGGATGCAGATCATATCCATGTAACTCCTTAAAAGCACACAGTACTTTTCCAGCTAGGAGGGTGTGCATTATCTGCCAGTTCTCCAAGCTGCAGTATGGATTCTGTCTTCTGGACAAGGCTTTTGATACCTGCTGGGACCTTGTTGGTCTTTGTGGCCTGTGCCCTGTACTCGGGCCATTTATTGTTCACAGGCGGGGGGGCATTGCTGTCTGCTTTTGCTCTCTTCTCCCACTTGCCTTTTGACCATAAGTACTTCATCAGTCTTGTTAACAAAACTCAGCCTCGAGGAGCCTGAGCTGAGCAGATGCTTCCTGGACGAGCCACAGAAGTCTGCTCACATCAAGGCGTGTTCTTTTCTCCACAGTCCTCAGCTTCTTTTGTGGAGAATTTTATTTAAATTCTCTATGCCATAGTCATATGTAAGTATAAAAACACCCATGGGCTTCTTTGGTTGTGTTTGTAGAAGTCGTTTTGTTCTGAATTTCATGAACGTCTGGAAAAGAGAACATGCCGAATAGTGCAGAAAGAGAGGGTTCTGTGTGAAGATACAAACAGTGCAATGGGGGAGCGGGCTGGCACTGAAAATATGTTTAATAAATGTGACATGCTTTAGTGACACACTTTCTTTTCTTACACACACACACACAAACACGCGTGCGCCTTGTAACAAGCATCATCATGCAAAACCAGTCTCCATGTGTTTGTATTAAGATCTTTCACAGCCAGTTACATAAGGTGTGTGTAATGGACTGCATGGGCTCATTTAGATAGAGCCTCAGAAATGTAACATAAGTGAAGTAGGAAAAGATAGAGACCCCACAGCTCGCTTTTCTTTCTTGTTCTTCCCTTCATGGATACTAGGGGATGGTGTTTCAGTGGAATAAATCACTACGAAGGACAGCACAACTTTGAACCCTGGTTATTCTTACACTTGAGAAAGTATTACTGTCCTGATAAATCGAAAGCAAAGGAGCATGTTATTTCTTGTCTAGGACTGATCAAAAATGTATTTTTTTTCTCATTTCCTTTTAAAACACGATTGATTTGGTGGCTCTGAATTTGCTCTAGTTGAACATTTATGTTCTGTTGCTTAAAGACAAAAATACTTGATAATCCATGCAGTTTATCCATCTCACAAATATTCTGGATCTTTATATAGACTCATGGTATCTGTAACAGCTTAGAAAGTAGCTACCACTATTAGGTCAGTTTCCTGAGGTGATCAGGGAAAAAGGAAAATAACCTGTGTGTTCTAAAATATTGATAGCAGCTCCCTTGGTGGTGGCAAAGAACTGGAAATTGAGGAGATGCCCCTCAATGGGGGAATGGATGAACAAGTTGTGGTATATGTTTGTGATGGCATAGCACTATGGTGTAAGAAATGATGAGTAGATTGATTTTAGAAAACACAGGACTAAATCATGAAGAGTGAAATGAACAGAACCCAGAGAATGTTGTATATAGTAACAGCAATACTGTTTGAAGAAGAACTGTGAATAACTAAAGCATTTTGAGTATTATAAATATCCAGATCAACTACCAAGGACGTATGAATGAAGATGCTTTCCACCTCTAGAGAAACAACTGATAAATAGAAGTATGTATAGTATGTTTTCTCACACACACACACACACACACACACACACACACACACACACACGTATATCTGTGTCAAATGGTGGCCTTCTCTGGTGTGGGGTGGGGAAGGAGGGAAGAAGATAGTTTAAAACTGAAAATGTAACAAAAAATTAATTTTAAAAATAGGTTTTAAGGAGAAAATAGACTTTTCCTTTATATCCAAGAAAAAAGAGTGCTAGGCATTTTTAAAAGATCTGTTATATGCATTTATTTCATATGTATATATGTACATATATACATATACTTATGAATACATATACATATATATCTCCAATTCCACCCACACACAAACCATCCACTGGGTGCATGCTGCTCTCTTAGGCTTTGGGAATGCAAAAATGAAAAATGACAGGGCCCTCAAGAAGTACATGGTCTGCCAGGAACACCAGTATGCATAGACAAGTTAAAATGGCACCAAGTAGCATCTAATTGCTATGGAAAATTACAGAGGCAGAGACCTTTCATTTCAGGGAAATCTTCCTAAGAGCCGTTATCTGAGCTTTACAAAGAGAAGACTGTCAGTAGGCATTGATGAAGAAGGAGTTTGCATTTTTGTCCTGGGAGGCTGCTGTGTGAGAGCATGGTGGCCCCGGAGCATAGGACAACATCAGAGAAGAGATGAGATTTAGCTGGAATGTGGAGTATAGAAGCATATGTTAGAATAAGGCTGGAAATGTCCTGGAGCCAGGTTGGAAAGGGCCTTAAATGACTGTCTTAGGGGCTGGCATTTTATCCTGTAGGAAGCCAGGGAAGGTTGTGGAATGGCCAGAACTGTGCCTTGGAAAGATGATTTGGGCAGATGGGAGAAGAAAAGTGAGAGTTTTGGGGGCTGGTGGTGCCGTGAATAGAGCACCAACCTTGGAGTCAGGAGGACCTGGGTTCAAATGCAGCCTCAGACACTTGACATTAGCTGTGTGACCCTAGGCAAGTCACTTAACCCTGTTTGCCTCAGTTTCCTCATCTTTAAAATAAACTGGAGACAGAAATGGCAAACCACTTCAGTATCTCTGTCAAGAAAATTCCAAATGGGGTCATGGAGAGTTGGATACGACTGAATAAAACAAAATAACAAAAACTTGTGAGTAATCCTCAGTATTCCACTATCATAAAAAATTAACAGAAATAAAAGAAGAACTGAACAATTAAGGAAAAACAGAACAAATGAAGAGCTCTTGCATATAGTTTAGTCACATATATAGAGAAATCTTAATAAGTTTCTAATTTATTTACATATATAAAATCCTACATTAATCAAAGTACTAAAAGGCTACTTTGGAGAATTAGGAAAAAAAGACCTATCTTTTCCCCAGTGAAGTTTGTTATGATTATGACTGAATGGACTTTTCCCCCTTGTGTTATTCCTAGCTCATGTGGTGCCACATCCACACATCTCCTCACATAAAAGTGATCCAGAAGGGAGAGGTCCAGAGACATTGATGTGTCTCGGTTTTGAGAGCAGGAAGCTTTTAACTCCGTACGTTTTCATTCTTCAAGGCTGTGGATCTTTCAATTGACGAATCCAGTCTGACTGGAGAGACAACCCCCTGCTCTAAATTGACAACGCCTCAGCCTGCGGCTGCCAATGGAGACCTCACCTCCAGAAGTAACATTGCTTTCATGGGAACTCTGGTCAGGTGTGGCAAGGCAAAGGTAATTTTTTAAAAAATAAAAATTTCTTACTTTAAGCAAATTCCACTTCCATTCAATTTCAAAGATTGAAGGCTTTAAAAAACAAAAAGCATCCTTTTTCTTCATTCCTGTTTTGAAAGGTTAGGCGTGACTTATTCCAGGGTAATGTAGCAATTGAGTCCCGATTGGACATTTGGCAGTTTTCCTAATGTTACCCCTGCTACTACACCTCCTCCCCCTGGAGAACATGGCCTGTTTATGGCTGTCCCGTTCATTGTTAGAGACACGCTGTGAGAGGTACCGTTATAAGCCCCCCAACATAGCAGTGCTGCAAGATCTCTGGAGCCTTACTGGTCATCATTGTGCTTGGTACTGACCGCTGTTGCAGAATTACTGTTTTAATTTTTTCAACATAATTTGAAATTCCTTGTCTTACAAGTTGTTTGAAAGAAAAAGTTGAATGTCTACATTTTAAACATTTTTTTCTCTCCTAGGGAATTGTCATTGGAACAGGAGAAAACTCTGAATTTGGCGAGGTTTTTAAAATGATGCAAGCAGAAGAAGTGAGTACTTTTCTATTGCTCCGTGAGTGCTTATTTAGTGCCATCTGCAAGCGAGGTGCTGCACAGCTCGTGTTCAGGGGAAAGTATGAGCTCATGTGGATACAAAATAAAGAAAGGGGAAACTGAAGCGGGGGAAGTTTGCTGTTAAATGGGCGGGGGGGGGGAGCAGTCAGACCTCAGCTGAGGGAGAGAGGTAGCACTTGGGCTGTGGTGGGGAGCAGTGCAGGCTTCTAGGAGGTGAGGCACGAGGCTCACCAGTCTGCTCATAGTGAATCGAAAGCAGATCCGATGGCACAGGTGGAGCCGTGGTGTACACGTGTCACCTGTGGCCTGGTACGAACGCTCAGAATGTCGTAGGCCTTGTGTTATTTCTACACCAGAGAAGGCCAGGGTCTGAACCGTAGATGCCTCATGAGGAGTAGATGTTATTGTAACAAGTGAAACACAATTAGGCTCCAACACTGACCTTTGGGATATTGTGCTTAGAAAAGGCCTAACAGCCTTGGCCTCAGTATCTTTTGCCTGAAGATGCCAAGTTTGCTAGGACCACACGTTGGCACCACTGTTGTTCTGAGCTGTGTCCTTCTGAAAAGGTCAAGTTCCAGAAAAGCAGGGGCTGTCGAACATCCCAATCTCTCTGGCTAGCTTCCAGAACTTGGCTGTGCTTGGCTTTTCTTAGGTATTCTTTCCCCTCACCTTGTTGTCACTGTTCCTATGGGGAACGATCTGTTAAAGAACGGATTGGTACTTTATTAATTAAGTGATTACTACAGGATTTTTAAAAAATATTCTTGCTATTCAAAGAAATATGTTTATATGGTAAACAAAACTCAGTTACATGTGATTAGTTTTCCAAAGTGTCTTTCTGGTTTTGAGTGTTTATCATTCACTTGACATCTCATTTTCAAGTCTTTGAAATTATAATTGCAAGTTATATTTAATCCACACAATACACATTCCCTTAAAAGTATATTCTTCACATAAATGTTCCAGTTTACAAAATGAGAAAGTTAGCTGACTCTTACCTAGGTCTAGCTAGGATAAGATAGTGTTAGTGTACTTCTGTTAAGCTTACTTTACCCTTGAATATATGTCTTTGTTCTCACTTACTAAAGTTCTTGGTTTTGTCATGATTCCCTTGTTCTTAGGGATATCTTGTATTTTGTAATCCTGTCTTCTTCTATAGAACTCACTACTTAATATGCTGCACTATATTCATCCTAAACTTTTCATAGGCCTGGGGAAATTTGTGTGGTCCTTCTCTGCCTGTTATCCTAGAAAGCATATTCATTTAACTGCAACTTTAAAACAAACCAAACTAAAATCTTTTATCAGATGCTTCAGTCTCTCCTGTGGCTGACCAGTTGTATCATAGGTTCTTTGTTTCTAGACTTACCTGATATTACAGAACCCTACAACATGTTGTTTCTTTAGCTGCCTTATTAGACAGTCATGGTTGGTGCTTTTAACTGTTTGCACCTTCGTGGCAACAATCCAGTATGAAGTTTTTAATTTGGTAGAAATGGGTATGTCACAGATAGAATTTTTAGTGAACTCAGTGGGAAGCTTGTTGAGAAGCGTAACCTGAGTATTTTGAGTATTCCTCCATTCAGGAAGTCCTTGTTGAGCACCTGCAGTGTTCTAGGCGTTTCCCACATGTGAAACATACGTGTGTTGTTTTTAACTTTTATAGTAACTTTGATTTGTTCTAGTGCTTTTGCATCATTTTATCTTAAATCTGTAATCTTCAGTGAATCTTAAAAATGAAGATATTTTAGTTTACTTATACTGAGATGCTATTGGAGAAATCTAATCATGATGGTTTCCTCTGTTCTTCTCATTCACAAAGGCTCCGAAGACACCACTGCAGAAGAGCATGGATCTTTTAGGAAAACAACTTTCTTTTTATTCCTTTGGCATAATAGGTAAGAGTAGAATGAGTATGTATCTGAAATTGCTCTTTAGTGTTTAATATTGGAAAGACATAGTTGATGGATCATAGAATTTAGAGCTGGAAGGGGCCTTTAGAGATGATCCAGTCCAACTCCCTCATTTTATAGATTTGGAATAATTTTGTGATTCTCTTTAATGATAAATTCTGCTTTCAAAGACAGAAGACCCAACAAAGGGACCCACTTCTCACGTGGTGGGTGGAGTGGAAAGGGTGGGAACCCTGAAGGGCAAATGGGACATTTTAGAATTTGTGATAGAGAAGGAAAGGAAAGCCACACGTAGTCTGACCTGGACCCTAGACTTTGAGGAGAGCTGGTTTTAAAGAGTTCAGAGGATGTATTATTAGAATCCTGTGCCCTAAAATGTTAGAGGGGAAATCAGCCTAGGCAGATAGGGGTCTCTCAAGACAAATTCCAAACCTGTCAAGAAAACTATTTCTTATTAAAAACAGAGGTAGTCCTCAAGAGAGACCAGTGTGGCTGTGCGGGGAGCCCACCGACTTGAATGTTTGAAAGATATACACAGAAAGGCTCCAAACATGCCAGACTTTTTGATAGGCTCTGGAAACAGAGTAAATACCCATTTGTGGGGAAATAGCCGACCATATCATGGCATATGAAGGTAAGGGAATTCAATTATGCCAGAAAAAGTGAATATGAAGAATTCAAAGAAACATAGAAGACCTTTACGAATATTGTCAAATGAGTTAATAAACTGAATCAGAAGAACATATCCACCATAAGTGCCATCATGTAAATAGAGCCACTCTGCACTGAAGCCACAGTCTGATCCCCAGTCTGGGTCTCATAAGGTGGGGGACCATGGCCGAGGCATGTAGCATACCCTCTCAAATAAGGTCACTCTGTCAGGTTGTTTTTTCTCCACTTCACTTTTTCTTTGCTACAAGGTTTGGGTATGGTGTGGGGACCGGGGCCCCAGAGAAGTGACTATGAAGTAAAAACAAGGCATCAATAAAACTTAAATATAAAACCTCCTTCACCCCCCCCCCGCCAAAAAAAAAGATGTAGAGAATATGGAAGCCAGGGCATGTACAGTCCTGTTAGAATTGAGTCACGAGTGATAGAATTCAGGATGAACTGAGACTAGTGAAGAAGGCTAAGCACAAAGGATGGATGTCCAGGCTCCATTGAGGGACGAGAGGAGGATCCAAGGGGAGTTTGATCGGTGCTCAGTGTAGAAAGGATGGGAGAAATAGACGGTTTGGAGAAAGAGCTTCTCCACTTGTACTCTGCAAAGGATAATGAGCTTTGGACATGAGGGGACAAAACAAAGATGGTAGATGGAGAGCTAATGTCCCAGATAAGGAAAGTGAGTAAGAGCACTTATCCGGTTTCCATGATAAATTCAAGTCGTCAGAGTCTGTGGAACATTCTTAGCCTCTATCCAACAGCCTTTAGTATTCTTGGAAAATGGGAGGAGTACCATGGGCCTGAATGTGGGCAAATCTTGTCCCATTACTCGGAGAAGGAAAGGTCTGGAACCTGAGAACTGTAGGCCAACTACCTCGACTTCAGTTCCTGGCAGAGTTCTAGACTGTCTTGTTAAAGAACAGTTAATGACAGTCTGAGCACAAAGAACCAGCATCACTCCATCAAGAAAAGGCCATGTCAAGTTAATGATATTTCCTTTTTTTGACGGGGTTACTAAAGTAATTACATCAGACGAATGCTGTTGTTATGGCTTACCTAGATTTTCAGAAAGTATCTGAGTCTTCATGCTGTTCTTGTGGAAAAGATGTGGAGATCAGGGCTGGATGACAGCTGAATTAAGACGATTTGTAGCTGGTTGAATGGTCAGTCCCACAGAGGAGTCCCACCCCTGCGTCTCAGATAGCTCCACATTTACCTCTTCTCACCCTCTGCTCCCAGTTCCCTCCCATGCAGTGACAGAATGGGTTTGATCATGGCTCCACAATCCCAGAATGGCCCCAATGAGGAGGAATAGTTAATACACCGAATGGCAGAGTCCAAAGGAAAATCACAACTGATCAAAACTTTGGGCCAAATCACATGAGGTGAAATTTAATAGGAGTAAATGTGGTGTCTTGAACTTGGGTTCAGCTTCCCATGTACAAGTTGGGGGAGGTGTGACTGGGCAGCAGTTAGTCTGAAAATCAGGTGGGTGTTTTTGTAGAGGCAGGCTCCATGTGAGACAGCCGTGGAAAGCCAACACAGTTGCGGGCTGTGTGTTCTGGGTTTAGGAGGTGCTAGTTCTGCTGCCGTCTGACTTGAGTCCGACCCCTTCTAGAGGAAGGCGCTTTTCTAGACCTACTTGAAGAAGGACTTTGGAGTGCTCCAGACTTGTGGGGGGCAGCCAGGAGAGGGAAGTTCCTTAATTCCTCAGGTGAGCATGGAGCACGTAGACTTGGAGGGCTCCCGGGTCTATGAGACACTCTGTTTGCTCCTGGACGGTAGGATTAGAAGTGGTGGGGAGAAGTTGCTAAGGGGCAGGCGTGGGCTGTACAACACGACAAAGTGGAATGGGCGGACTTGAGAGAAAGCTGGTTGAGTGTTTGGTTGGCTGTGGGAGCAGAGATTCTTGTCAAGCCTGGCTTGGACTCGGGCCTTTGGGGGTCTCTCTCAAAGCTGAGATTCTGCAGGCACAGTGCAGTAACATGCCCGAGGTCTTGTAGGTAGTGTGGTTGAATGGTCAGACCCACAGAGGAGTCCCACCTCTGCGTCTCAGATAGCTCCACATTCACCTCTTCTTGCCCTCTGCTCCTGATTCCCTCCCATGCAGTGACAGAATGGGTTTGATCGTGGCTCCATAATCCCAGAATGGCCCCAACGAGGAGGAACAGTTCCTCACAGACCCCCATCCTGTTCTTTGCATTACACCCCAAGAAGTTAGAACTTTATCATCAGAGTCCCCTGCTGGACCGGGTCCCACTGTACATGGTCTTTCAAATAAGTTTACATGTCTGATAGCGTTGGTATCTTAGATCAAATGTCCATTTCTTTAATGGCATTTCTAAAAAGAATAGCTATTGTTTACATGGTGCTTAAAGGTTTACACAGCAGTTTACAAATATTATCTCATTTGATCCTCACTGCACCTGGGAGGTAGATGCTATTATTATCCCCATTTTACAGCTGAGGAAACTGAGGCAAATAAGTGTCAAGTGACTTGCCCAGGGTCACATAGCCAGTAACTCTCTGAGGTTGAATATGAATTGAGGTCTTCCTGAATTAACATCCTGCACTGTGCCAACTAGCCACCTAGTGAAAGGACACCTGATTTAGACTACAAAATCAGAAGATTGTTGGAATCGGCTCTATTGTTTAAAAATGCCTGTCTGTGCCTTTCACATCCCCTGGAGTCAGTGAGAACGTCCAGTAAATTAGTCAGTCAGCAAGCACACATTTACTATGTGCCACGTACTGTATCTGGTCCCAAGAATGCAAATATACGGAATAAAATGATCCCTACCCTCAAAGAGCTTACATTCTAAAATGGGAGACCAGGAGTACATTTGTATGTGTAAACAGAATGGAAGGAGCCCCATGCCTGGCCTCTGCCAAGCTGACTGACTGACTGTCTAACTGACTGCATTTGGAGGCGGAGGATTGGGGTTTAGATCCTGGCACTGCCCCCCATCTCCTTTGCAACCCGAGGCAGTTACTTGGCTTCTCTGGGCCTCAGTTTACCTAATCAAATAGACTAGATGATCTCTGAGGCTCTGTAGAGCTTTAAAGCTGGGACATTATACTACAATAAATAGAAATAATTATAAAGTAATTGGGGAGAGGCCACAAAGGTTCAATAAGGAATTAAATGAAAATCTGCTGATTTGTGAATGTATTCGTACCTCTAGAGAGGCATGTAACCATCACGCACTACTTCTCTGCTATGGTTCAATTATCCATTTAAGTCCTTGAAGGAATCTTGGGCCAGAGGTGTAGAGATTTCAATGTACGTGCTTTATAATTGACTGCCGAAGAACAGACCTTGAGGTGAACATTAAGATTTCGCCTGTGGGGCCCCTTCTTTCACAGCCCAGATTATATCTCTTATGTGCCTTAGTAGGCAATCCTGAGAAGCTACTATGAGCAAAGGAAAGTGACAGCCTGCTGAGCAGCCGTCTGTGTGACGTTCAGCCTCTCTGAGTTTGGCCAAGCTGACCCACATGCGGCAGAAGGCGTCTGTCATCCGACTGGTGCGTGGAGTCTTTCCAGCTTGGCCGAGCCTGCTAAGGGAGCTGAAAATGCAGTTTGCTGTCTTGACATATCTAATAATTCAGTGTTTGAATTGAAATTTGTTTGGATTGAGAAATTACTTTGACCTTGTTCCTGTTCTTTAACTTGTCTACTTTTATCATAAAGTGATGGGGAACAGAAAGTTAATTGACTTTTAATTTATTCTCTGCTTCCTCTTACTAACTAGGAGCTTACAGAACTGTGTAATAAAACCTCTCTGGACAGGTAGGCGGTGTGACCACTATGGATAAACAGTGGTCCAAACGACTGCACTAAACTGAAAATGTTTCCAAGCTGTTTTCCTGAACTTTCCTCCCGGTGCGCCCTGCCGTTTGTTTGATTCAGGAGCTTTCAGAGCCAGAATCCCTGGCATCACCATTGTGAAGACCAATTGTCTGTCATTGTACGGGTGACTGTAGGTAGTGAGGATTGGGTCGAGTCTATCCCAGCCTGGCCCAAGCTGGAAAGTTCTGCTCTCCAGCCCCGAGTAAATGTCTGGAATTTTTTAAAGGCTAGCTTGAGGGAAGTAATTGGTTTCTGATTGAGTTTTTTTATTTTGGAGTGCCATCAAAGTACATTTTAAAAGTGTGGTCTCAGGAAGTGTGACTGTAGGAAGGATATAAGCATCTATTAAGTGCCTCCTATGTGTCGGGCCCTGTGGTAGCTCCAGATGGCTTTGATTAGAAGGCTTCACCCCTCTGGATCTGAAATCAGTTCTCTTTGCATAACTGGGTCAGAATCTTAATTCATTGTGTTTTCTAGTATTGAGATAATAAAATGATGTAGGTATCTCTTGAAATATAGAGTAGATCCATTCCTGGAAAGTTATATTATTATAAATTCCACATACTTGACTCTGTTTTTTCTACGTTCTTAAGTTTAAGACACCATGATGTAATTTCTCCAGTGTTAAATTTGAACTTAGCCAATTTGTAATCTAACATTCCCCAGCTTATCAACCAGTGTAGTGCAGCATGTTAGATTTAGAGTGGAAGATCCTAGGTTCTAATTCTACCTCACCTGTTGTCTATTTCTGTGACCTGGAATAAGTCACTTCTCTGGGCCTCAGTTTCCTCATTTATAAAAGGAGAGGGTGGGACTGCATGACTCCTAAGGTCCATTCCAGCTTTACGTCTATGATCTGTGATCTTGTGATCTCTGTCTGCCATGAGATTTCAGTACAGCCTTAATTGTCGTGATGCTCTTCCCTAGAGTTTGAATAACGAGGCCAGGACCTGTTTGATTCTGTTACAGGTATTATCATGCTGGTTGGCTGGTTACAAGGAAAACATATCCTGGATATGTTTACTATTGGCGTGAGGTGAGAGAGAAGCTGGCGTTTAGTCTTTCGGGTTTTGTCTGATGGTTGTGACATCTTGAGCAATTTTCTAAGAGGAAGGAACAATGTCCTTTGGGCTCCATTGTAGTACTTGGTGCGTTACAGAATAGACGGGACAGCTCTGTTCCTCCCCGAGTCCTTATGGTCCAAAAGAGGATCTAATTAGTAAATATTGTGTACATGTTTTAAATTCTACACCAGGATTAAGTTTTTCCTCTAGATCGCTGTGTATTTTGTTGATCTTAACATTTCACCCCTGCTTTTCCTGGTCATTTGAAAGACCCTTAAAATTCCAGCAGTTGCATAGATTGCAGTGAGACTAAGAACTTTAGGCTCATTCATCTACTGTTAAATTCTGCACAGGTTTAATAAAACAACATATTTTGTGGTTTATTATACATTAGTGATTTAGTGTATATATGCAAGCCAGACCAGCAGCACTCTTTTTCCAAAAATAAGTTTTTATTGATGTCTTTTGTTTTTTTACATCACTGTAGTTTCCCTCCCTCCCTATCCCAGTGAGCCAGCACATGTAACGAATAGTTGTTTTTTTTTTTTTTTTTAAGATAAAATAAGAGGGGGAAAATTGGCGTAACTGGCATACATCGAAGAAATTTGAGAAAATGTGCAATGCACAATACTTGTGGACCTCCCCCTACTTTCTGCAAAGCAGTGTGAGGGAAGGTCTTCTCATGTATTTTCTTTTGAGACTTCGGTCGTCAGTACTAATTCTTTGGTATTTTATTACTACCAATTAAGTAATTTGTTCAGAAAGCCAGTGTGTGTGCTTTTCATTTGACATGTACCTTTGTGTTGCAGTCTGGCTGTAGCTGCCATTCCTGAAGGCCTTCCCATTGTGGTAACTGTGACTCTGGCTCTTGGTGTCATGAGGATGGTGAAGAAAAGGGCCATTGTCAAAAAGCTGCCGATCGTTGAAACTCTAGGTGAGTCTCGCTAACTGAGCGCCTTGAACAGATGAGAATCGGTGAGCAAGGTCAGCACTGAACTTAGAATGTTGGGTTCTATAGCTTGTTGTGCCATCGCTGGGACATGGCCTTGGAGGGTAGGCCGTCATAGCAAAGCCGCCTGTGACGTCAGTCCTGAGAACACTGGCAGAGCCTGACATCTGAACAGCCTCCAATATAATGCCGAAATCTTTTTAAAATACACATCATGAATGAAACAGAAATGCTAGCCATCAAGTCAGTGAAAGTTTTCAATTTTGATACTGCCAAAAAGGTGATGTTGGCAAGACTTGCTGGCACAGAGAAAGGTGGCTTGAGAGCCGGGCAGCTTAGATTGCCTGGAGACATTTTCTGTACTGTGGCTACTTTTTGCTTGATGATGGCAAATTCACTGTCTCTTTGGGAGCCCTCTTTCTGAAAGGTGCTTTATTCTGAATTGGGTATATACAAGAAGCACTTTGAATTTAATTTGCCTGTCTGGCAGTTTAATGCCATGATCTGAGCTATCAGATACCTTGTGATTTCTCAGTTCTAAGAAGTTTCGCGTGTTTACATTCCAGAAACCTACCTCCAATGCCCATCCTGCCTGTCCCACCCCGGATTCATTAAATAGGATCATTATGGGAAACTAGAAATGAATAGGGAGTGGAGAAGCACTTAGAAAAATGGAATTAATATGGAAAAACAGTCTGCATTTTGATTGTTTTGTAAACCCTGAATGGAAAGTTGGGTAACCTGTGCTGAGAAACAAATGTGATGAGAATGCAGCTTTGCAGCCAACACTTTGTCATTTTCACAGGTGTGAATAAGTGACCAAGATCCCATCTCCAGTGGTCAAGTCGTTTTCTCCCTTATCTTCCAAGCTCATTTATTTGTGTCCATTAAACACCTTTGTGTATGCCCCACTGTTCCCTTTTCTGACGGTCCTGCGCTGTCTTCTAGGTTGCTGTAATGTGATTTGTTCCGATAAAACGGGGACGCTGACCAAGAACGAAATGACCGTGACTCACATCTTTACTTCGGATGGGCAGCACGCGGAGGTAGCTCGTGGGGTTTCTCTTCTTCGTCTATATTGAAGGCATACTTTATTATTTTATTTCTTTTTAAGCTTCACACATCGTTTTAACTTGCTTACAAATTCAGGTTTCTTTAGAGTAGCTTTAAGTTTGTCATCAGCAAAGCTGGTTTCTTCCTTGTTGCCATTCTAAATTGTTTTTGTAGATCGGTTAGGAAGTATTTACTGAACACATTATACGGAGTGTCCCCAGAGGCCTAGGGCAATCTTAAACTTGAATAGCTGCATGTGCAAAGTACTGTATGAGTGCCATGGTTCACTTTGGAATTTTTAGCAGATTCTGCGTCTGACAGAGTGAAGCAGTGTTTCCAACCCCCTTTACCTTGGCACAACTACCAGCTAATCATTATTATTAGTTAAGTCCTGTAAATGCTGAGGTGAGGCTAATACGTCACAACTTTTTTAGTGCCTTTTTGTAGAGGGAGTCTCATTAATAATGAATGCAGGCTGTGACATAAACATGTAATCAGAGCCATGTGCATAAATTAAGAAGATGGGCATTGAGCAGTTTGCCAGACCTTACCTTTCTTTGTTAAAAGCACAACTCAAGTTGATTGTTTTGTGCATAGTGTGTAGACAGTAAAATGGCACTGGAGACAGACTTGTGACTTGAACAGGATTTTATTTTGGAGTTAGTTGTGTGACTTCTCTGACTTTGGTGGGATGCGTCGAGGTGCACATCCTGATCCAGGGGAACGTCAGGATTCTGGTTTCTCTTGGACTATTTTCTCACTTGCCCCTCATTTTTCCATTGAACACGATCTGAACTCTTGCAGTGGATTTGGGGTGTTGACATTCTCTCCAGCAGCTTACAAGCCAGCCCCTCTCTGCACTGTCTTATGAGATTCTGGTCCATGTTATTGCTTAATGTTAAGAAAAACTCTAGGTCAATTTCCTGTTATGTATTCAACTTAATTAGTCACACTCAGGAGGAGGGAAGTGTTAGAGAAAGTGTGTGCCACATTCACTCTGTTTCAGTTCATTTGACTAAGTACTGATTTGTAAGTTTGGAATGATATAAGTATTGTATAGTAGTTATTGTTATTACTAATTACTAGATAAAATATTCCATAAATGCTGAGGTGAGGTCAATACACAAGAGCTGTAAAAAGATTTTAAATGGTGGTACCTTTCTGTAGATGTGGTCTCGTTAATCGCTAATAGAAGTTGTTTCACATTTTAAGCAAATTTTATTAGACAACGAAAACATTAAACTCAAGTGGAATCTATCCTGAGTCTTTTAAGTTTTTCTTTTGAAGAACAAATTCAAATACTTTTCTAGGAATTTGCTTTTTGCAGTGTTGTAGCTTAAATTAATTTGAACATGACCTGTTACTGTTTGCTCTCTCCTCTTTCTACTGGTCAGTAATTTTGATGCAAGTTTGTATGATTTCTTAGGTTACTGGGGTAGGCTACAATCAGTTAGGTGAAGTCATACTTGATGGAGATGTTGTTCATGGATTCTATCACCCATCCATCAGCAGAATTGTTGAGGTAAGTACTTAGATACTAAAGAGAGTAGCTTTTCAAGACGACTCAGTGTGTTCTAACGGCTTTGTAGTTACACGTGTATTTCTCTTAGGTGGGCTGTGTGTGCAACGATGCTGTAATTAGGAATAGCACTTTAATGGGAAAGCCAACAGAAGGAGCCTTAATTGCTCTTGCAATGAAGGTATGTATTGACAAGTTACTCGATTTCAATTCCTTACCACCTAAGACCTTGCCCTTGGAGATAGGATAGTAGGACTGATTTTGTCTTGGCTTATGAGTGACATAGAGGAAAAATCCTATATACCTTCTTAATTTTTTTTAAAAGTAGTTTTTTTTATTTTGAAACTTAAATATCAAAAAAAAAGAGTTTTCATATACACATCAGAACACAAGAGGATTCTATATGAAACTATAAATCTCCACATCATATTAGTTGTTTTTATTAAAATGTATTTAATAAATTCTGCACATGACTTTTGAAATTATCCCATTTTTGCTTCATTTGGAACTTCTTTCTCTTTTATACAGTTGAAAAAACGTCCCCCTTTTTTGGCATTGCTTTTGTGAACCAACTCCTCCCTCACTTCTTTTTCCCCACCACCAAAAACCCTTATAACAGATGAGCAAAGTCAGCTCTGGGGTGGGTGGGTGGTGGGGAAAGACAGACCTGGGGTCTGTATGGGTTGGCCCAGGTTCTGAAGCACCTTACAAGCCAAGGAGAAGAGACACATCTTGAATTTGCTAAGCAACAGGACTCTATTGTAGATAGTTAAACCCCGAGGAAGTCATGTGCTGGAAGAGGGGTACTTTTGGATTAGGAGTTTTTTACTTTATCTGATGTGACCCTTTTTGTAGGTTGGTGAAACTGATGAATCTTATTCAAAATTTTTTTAAATTCATAAAATAAAATATAGAAGACTACAATGGAAAGCAATTATAATGAAGTGTAGTTATCAGAAAAAAAAAATGTTTTTTGAATCTCATAGACCCAGCTTAAGAATCTCTGTTTTATTTTGGTTTTCACAATGTTATCTTCTTGAGACTGTGTCTCCCTATCATCTCACCCAGGCGGGGTCAGTTGCACTCACAGCCTGACCCCCATGCCCATAGGTTTGGAAGCGCTCGCTGCCCTATTTTCTGTCCTGGGGCATTCGAGCCTCCTCAGGCAGCTGGAGGCTTGTGCCCGTAGGGGCTCTCTGTGTTAGAGCCGGCCTTGGTGTGCGTAGACCCCTAAGTGCCTCTGCCTCTGCCTGCGCCTGTCCTAGCAGCTCGGACGGTGGGGCAGGCATGTTCCGACATCCTTCTCCTGGGCTGCCATCAGTGGTTGGCACACTGGCTTTGGAGTCAAGAGGACCTGGGTTCTAGTTCTGCCTGACTCATAGGGCTTGCAGTATCCTAGGAAAGTCCTTTAAACTTTTGGTAAGGTTACCAAAACCCTCTCCCCTTGGTTGCTGACCCATGGCATTGCAGGTGTGGTCCTCAGAAAAGTGGGAGGGGTCGGTAGCATGAATTGGACTGGAGGGGGACTGGAAATATACTGGCCTTCTCAAAGGCAGCTAGTGGATAGAGCCTGGGGCCTGGAGTCAGGAAGACCAGAGTTCAGATCTGGCTTCATGCACTCCCTGTGGGGCCCTGGAGAAGTCACTTAACCGCTATCTGCCTGCATTTTCTCATCTGTAAAATGGGAATCATAATAACACATACCTGTCTGTCAGGGTTGTTGTGAGCACGAGATAAGGTAACATTTGTAAAATGCTTAGCATAGTGCCTGGCACATAGTAGGTGCTATATAAACATGATTATTAGTAGGAATAGTAATAATCTGTGTGTGATGAGGCTTGAACCTTTGACCTTGGCTTCTTTAGCATTATGTTCTTACCCCCAAGGCATAGTTAGAAAATAATAGTTGTCCTTTCTTATGTTGTCAGAAATTTAAGTTGGTGAAAAGAATATTTTTCCTTTTGTGTTTTACACAGATGGGTCTTGATGGACTGCAGCAGGACTATATAAGAAAAGCAGAATATCCCTTTAGTTCTGAGCAAAAATGGATGGCCGTGAAGTGTGTGCACAGAACACAACAGGTAGCCTTGCTTTGAATGTCTCTTCATGGCATTGTCACACGTCGTCCTTTCCCCTCTGGTCACTTAGATACCATCATCCTGTTTGTACTGTCAGACACTAGATGGAAGGTCAGCAGAGCCTTATACTCTAAAGCCTGTGTAATCAAAGTCGGATGAACTCGTCTCTCGTCCTGTGCTCTCACTTACAAATATAAATAAATTCTGTTTTTTTTAAGTGGGCAGCCACAACTGGGAACACAGAGTGAAAACATCTTCATGAAATCCCTCTGTTTATGAGCAGAGGAAATGGGTTTCATGTTCAACCTTTGCAGGAGTTATACATTCCTAGAAAATAAACACAGAGGGAGAAAAGCTGAGCTGTTTCCCTTACGCCCATGCTGCCGGCTCTGCCTTGGAGGCTTCCTTTCCTCAAGGTCCCTGGACTTGGGCCGACTTGAGCTGCCTTCCCTTGGCCTGTGTCTCGAGCAGTCTCGGGGAGCGTTTCCTGAGAGTTCTTGTTGTCCATGCTTTGTAAGAGTGCCACCCAGCTGCTCCAGTACCGAGGGGACACCCGGCTTCTCTGTGACTGTTCTGATTCCGAGGGTTCTTGGGTGCAACTTCGCTAAAACTGTAGAGAGAGACCATTGGGGCTTTTTTTTCTTCCATTCAGCAAATTGACTTATTATGTGTCTGTCATGAGCAGAGCATTTCCATGTAATATCAGTAAAATCCAACAGGAAAAGCTAGAAAGAGAAAAGTCATTGAAGATAACTAACTCCTATGTAGAATCCTGGGGAGTCTACCTACCCCATCCTGTAACAGAAATACAGACAGGCCCAAATAAGCAGAGAACAGGACAAGACAGTAGAAGAAGAATGACAGTACTACTTAAGTGAATTTACTTATTCAGTATCATACCAATCAGGCCACCCAAGGATTACCTAGTAGACCTAGCAAAAATAATAATGCAATTCTTATGGAGGGAAACAGGTGAAAAAAAAGCTTCAGGGAAAATAGTGAAAAAAAGTGAGACGCAAGGGGACCTGGCAGTCCTGGATCTCAAGCTATAGTAGAAAGCTAAGTAATCATTCATCAAAGCATTTTGGCAACTGGTCAAAAAGACACCCAGCAGTGGAACAGATTAGGGACACAGAATAGAAGCCAACGAACCTGGTAGCTCAGTCCACACAAAGACCCAGCTTCTGGGAAAAGGCCTCATTGTTTTCAGTCAGTCGTTAAACATTTATTAGGCCCCTTCTGTGTGCCAGGCACTGTGCTAAGCCTAGGTATACAAATGAAAACAAAGACAGTGCCTGCTCTCAAGGAGCTTAGGGTCTAACGCGGGATGGCGACACGCAAAAGGAAGCCGAAAAGTGGGATTGGGGCAGGTGGAGAAGGTGGGGGTGGAGAGGGAATGATGACTGTCCCAAAGAAGTCCAGAAGCAGGGGAGCTGGTGGGAAATGGGGAGAAGATTATACCGATCAGACCCCTCTTTCCTTTTTCCCGCAATTCACTATTTTTTTTGACATTCACTTAAAAAAAGTTTTTGGGTTCCAAATTCTTTCTCCCCACCAGCTCCTCCCCTGCCCATTCAGAAGGCAAGCAGTGTATCAGTTATACACGTGAAGTCATGCAAAACATTTCCGTATTAGCCATGTTACAAAACAAAACCAAAAAAAAAAATACCCAGAAAAACCAAAGGCAAGAAAAACAAAGGAAGTGAGGAAATTTCACTTTAGTTTGTACTCAGAGATGCAGTGTCTCAGCTACTCACGTTGGACCCATTTGTTAATATCCGCTTCTTTGCACTGGCTCCCAACCACCCCTCCGTAACCTGGCTCCGTCCATTCTTCTCTCTCTGGGGTGGAGAGTGTTTCTCCTTATAGCCCCTCTTTTCAGCAGAGGCCTGTAGCCCATGGCCCTGCCCTCCAGTCCAAGGGCTCAGTCAGGTCATTGAGTGGGATGTGAGGTCCAGGCAGAATCAATCCTGCAGCAAAGGGGGATCTCCCAGGGCTGAGTTTCCTGGAGAAGGAGGGCATGATGAAGAGTCTGGGGACATTCATAATGGTTCTTAAGGAAAGAGAGAAGTAGAGAGGACTTGTTGATTATTTTTTATCTTGGAGCTAAGAAGCCACGTAACTCAGGAGAGTCCAACATGTCATACGTGTAACGACAATAGAAATGTGTTAACAGCCCTTGTGACTCTTCTGGATGGACTGGGCAGATGGAAAAGTGGTTAGGGAAGACCCGGTACAAGTGTCACCACTGATACGTGCTGGCTGTGTGACCCTGAGCCAGTCACTTAACCTCTCAATACCAAGGCATTTTCTTGTACTTTAAGTTGCAGAACAGTTGAAGATCTGTATTGGTAGTGAGATTCCTTATTAAGGGTTGTCTGTATTAATAAAATTGCAGCTTTGACCCTCTACATCTTAAGGGGAAAAAAAAGCCTCTTCTATTGTGCCAAAATTGTCTGTGTTGGAGCAAGAATTCTTAATGATGTTTGTGTCATGGCCCCTTTGGCAGTTGAGTGAAGCCTATGGACCCTTTGTTAGAATAATTGTTTTAAAGGTATAAAATAAATGTATAGATTAAAAATTAAATGAATTATATAGAAATGCAGTTATCAGAGTTTTTTTTCAAAGTTCATGAACTTGGGTTAAGAACCCCTGATATTTAGTGAAGATTCATGAAAATAAGTGCTAGATGTTCAAAATTCCTGCACCCCTAAAATGTAAATAAATTTGTGGCTTTAATTTTATGTAGGGATAATTTTTTTTTTTATGTGGCTGTAAGGAAGATCTGACAGTTGTGTTTTGGACAAGGCTGTTTACATTTCGAGGTTGATGCAGGGATTTACAGCAGAAATGTGCTAGCGGCCACGATGGTGCTAACGTGGCACTGCTTCATGGCAGTCTGGTAGAAATTTCACTGCCTTGTCATGTCTGTTCTTCTCCTCAGGACAACCCAGAAATTTGTTTTATGAAGGGTGCTTATGAACAAGTGATTAGATACTGTACCACGTACAACAGCAAAGGACAGACCTTGGCACTCACTCAGCAGCAGAAGGATGTCTACCAGCAGGAGAAGTCCACCATGGGCTCTGCAGGACTCAGAGGTACCTCCACTTTGGGGGGGCCCCAGGGAGGACTCCTTGCTAGCTTCTGTTCTTCCACTTCGTGCAGTGTATATCGTGTTTTAACAGAAATATTGCAGCCCTTCATTCTCATATCTCCTTTATGCCCAGCAGACTGTTAACTATGTCCTTCTCTTCCTCCAAAAATTTTCTTTTGGGCCAGAAAATTTTTGTGAAGATGAAGACTGTATATAATCAAAATATGTCTTACCTTATCCATTTTTTTATTCTTCATCAGAAGACTGTCCATCTACCGCAGTGGGTTGAGGGGGAGGGTATAGAGGCTGAGCCTTTTCTTGCTATATGCTGTCAGCAAGAGGCACAAATTTAAGGCCATGTTTTCTAGCCATAAGTTTTACTGTTATTTCTGTCTTCACCAGTGCCTTCCCACTTGTTTCTTTTCTACTTTTTGGTGAGGCAATTGGGGTTAAGTGACTTGCCCAGGGCACAGTAAGTGTCCAGTGTCTGAGGCTGGATTTGTACTTAGGTCCTCCTGATTCCAAGACTGGAGCTGCACTGTCTAGCTGCTCCCCCCTCCCCTTAATTAGCTAGAAATGCCAGGGCTTTCTTATTCTGATGCAGTCTCACTTGGGGAGGATTTTCTCTCTCAGGACTCAGGGACCATAATTGGGTGGAAAAAGGCTATGGGAAAGCCTTTTTATAGTCCTATAATTCTAAATAAGCACCGTCTCCCCCCTCCTGGCCTTTGGGACCATGCTTTGAGGACAAGCTGTAGGCTGTTGCCTCATAAGGAGGACCTAGTTTACCAGTATTTGAACTGGGCATTTCCCCTCCTTCCCAGAGGCTTAGCCCTAGCTGCGGGTTACAAGTATAGTCTTAACATTTTTGTCTTTGGGGGTAAATTGTGAATACTCTACAGGGATTCAACACATGGGGAGGTCAAGGTTAGGAGAGAAACCATGGCCCTGCCAAATGCTCAGCCCAGGGAGCAAGGACTTCTGGAGAGCCTGGGTAGTTGTATTCACCCAAGTTAAATGGAGTCTGGTGTGATGGGATTGTAGAGACAGGAGCTTTCCAGAAAGGTGGTAGCTGGGCTGTGCTGGCTGCAGCTGTTGGTTCTGGGTGTGCAGGGTCCCCCCCCAGTAGACCCAGCACAAGAGAACTAGACGGACTCTGAGGAATGCTGCTTCTCAGGATGGCCAAGCCTGGGTCTGTGGGACTAGAGCGGCCCCAGCCCTGCTTCTGCTGGCGTCTAGATGGGCTTCAGAGGCTGGAGGGACACCCTGCCTCACTGGTGCTTCCTGGTATCTTCTGCGAAGGGATATTTTAAATTCCCCTAAGTTGCAGAATGGCTGTTTTCAAAGTCAGACTCCAACGGAAGAGATCTCTCAGTGTCTCCTAGTTTTTGAAGAGCTGTAAGGCCCAGTTTAAGGCCTTGTTCCAGTCGGTTCCTCTGCTGATGGAGTACGTCATCATGGCGATGAGCTTTGAAGGCCCAGCAAGGCTGCAGAACCTCTGGCCTCTGATCCCCTCCCTTATTCATCCCCTGTCCTGATGTCAGCTGTGAAGATGAAGGGTGACCTGAAAAGTTTTTAGAGGTCACATACTCAAAAGCCCAGAAGAGGAGGTTATTGCTTGTTGACTTATCAAATGAGAGGCAGCATTCCTTGACTTGAAAAGCCTCCCGGTCATCAGTCAGGCTCAGGCCCCAGGTGGGTAGGCTGCTTCAGGAATGCCAGTCATCCATTCAGGACAACTGCATTGGAGTCCTCAGAGAACTCAGGCATTTTCTAGGTTGCTCATGGCACAGCCCCAGATGGTTTGGCTCAGGCTAAAGGGCATGTCAAAGAGCCCAGCAGCCCCGGCCCCGGGCCTGGTGCAAGAGCAGGGCCTCCCTGACCCCTCTACACCTTCCATCCTTCTTCAGTCTTCTCCCTGCCTCCTGTCACCACACCCGCCTCACATCTGAGGACCTTGCCCAGACTTCACATGTCACCCAGCCCTGACGTCTTCCTCTAGCCTGCCCTCTCCTCTGCCCCATCTCACAGGAAGAGGCCCCTTTCTTACCAAACAAATCTTTTCCCATCCCCCACTCTCATTTTGCCATTCTTTGACTCCCTGGCCTCATCCCAGTGGCTTGCCACGTGCCACGTGTTTCAGAGATTCTTGTTCACTGACTGGCATCGGTGAACGTCTTCCTTTCACTTGGCAGCAGCCACTGGATGAGGCGCCTTACTGAGTGTGGAAGTTGTGTTGTGTTTCTTAAAAAAGGAAATCGAAGGCAACACATCAAAAATGAGGACAAAAAAATGGGCCTCCCAGTGGCTTCAGCTACCTTATACTCAACAAAAACTATAAACTATGAACATCTTTTAAAAATTTTAAGTAAGTAAAGATTTTGCAAGTTAGTCCTTGTGGGAGCTCTGGGGCTAGAGAATTTGCCTACTCAGCTAGTGAATCCTAAGAAATTCTAATTCCCAAAACTACCGCATCCACTTCTCTGTCTCGAGCAGATATGTCTGTGTCCTATACTGGTAGATACAGGTATGTAATAGTATTTATTGGTAAGCAGCTGACTAAAAATTCAGGCTAAAAGGATGTAAAGGGAATGTAAAATTAGGAGGACACTGAGAGAAACACCTACTTTGATTCGTGCTGAAGTGGTAGAAGGGTCAGGACGTGGCTCCTTTTCTTCAGATTTCAGCCGGATGAGATGGTTACCTCTGGGGACTTGGGGCCGCCAGTCCAGTTGTCCTGGCTGCACCACTTTGTTCTTGGCTTTCTTCTAAGTAGAAGAGACCCAGATAGATGGGCTGCTTTGCCCCCTGGGCTGTGCAGTGAATCGGGCTGATGTTAGAGGAAGAAAGTGGAGTAACTTTTGCTAGAATTTTAGTCATTTTTTTCAGTTGGCAAATCCTGGAGAGCAAAGATAGAGCATCTTTGGAGGGACAGCCCTAGAGACCTGGTGAATTTTTCCCCCAGAGCCCTTATTGGATTAGGTTTCTCAGGAGAAATCACAGTACTCCCTGTTCTTTGGAATAAGGAGGAAAAGAGAATTTTCCCCATCAAGGTCTGTTGAGTCACAGTTTTTTGTTTGTTTGTTTTTTTGGGTAGGCAGTGGGGTTAAGTTACTTGCCCAGAGTCACACACAGCTAGTAAGTGTTATGTGTCTGAGGCTGGATTTGAACTTGGGTCCTACTGAGTCCAGGGCCTGTGCTCTATCCGCTGTACCACCTTGCTGCCCCAAGACACAGTTTTTTAAGAGTGAGTAAAAAATGTAAAATGTTTGGTTTGTCTTCTTTTAAAATTAATAATGGAAAATCTTGAATTATTTTCAACAACTAAGCAAAAAGGAAAATGCTTCTTTCTCATGAAAAATGGTAATGAGGAGGAATGAAAAGTGGAACAAATGGAGATAATGTCAATGCTTGTCAAAAACTTTGATGGGCCAAGACCTAATTCAGTTACTGATACTTGATTTTTTTTTTTTAAGGGGAAACAGGAAGACACAGATAGAGAAAGACAGAAAGAAAGAATATAGTTAAAATTTGTTGTATTGAAATTGGAAGTACAAGTATTCTTGAAATCCTTTTCATCATTTTTTGATGGACAGAAAACTTCATTTTTTTCAGTTGTTTATTTGAAAAGGAAACCAGTACATAAGGCTTTTAAATAGAAATACCTCAATATATATGATTTTGCTTATAAATCTCAGTAGATCAAGTCAAGTATACCAGCATTTATGAAACACCTCTTATTTCCTGGGCAATGAAAGGCAAAAAAATAGTCATTGCCATCCAGAAGCTCAAAGTCTGACTGGGAGACAACATGCACACAGCTGTGTACACACTTAGTACAGGATGGGCGGGAAGTTGTCACCGAGGGGAGGCACTAGCATTCAAGAGGATGGGGAAGGGCCTCTCAGAGAAGGCGGGGTCTTCACCGGGCCTGAGGTGGGAGAGACCTGCAGGCCTGGGCAGCCTGCTGCTGCCTGGAGTCAGCGGAGAGAATGGATATCTGTCCAGGGGACGGCAAGGAGACCGGGGTCGCCAGATTGCCGAGGAGTTTACGTTTTTGTATTTGATTTGGCAAACATTTTACAAGAAGGAAACACTTAAGTGATTAAGGGGAAATTTTACTTGATCCATTGTCATTCTCTATACTTAGCATATTCTCCACTCTAATAACTATATTTGAACAAGTTTCTTTGAGACTCATTTTTCTTTTCCTTGAATTTTGTCATTTCTTCCAAAGTTCTTGCCTTGGCTTCCGGCCCTGACTTGGGACAGCTGACATTTCTGGGCCTGGTGGGGATCATTGATCCTCCCAGAACTGGAGTGAAAGAAGCAGTTACCACGCTCATTGCTTCAGGAGTGTCCATAAAGATGGTGACGGGAGATTCCCAGGAGACTGCGATTGCCATTGGTACGGAAAGACCAGTGTGGTCATTTTAACTCTGTCACCCAACTCTTCTGGTGGTTTAGTGCGGCTGGTGTGTTTTTAAGTGGCGAGTTCCGTTTCACAAGAGCGTCTGTATGTTTGAGATATGACTGTGAAGTAAAGACTGACTCAAGCCATCAGTTGTACCCATCTGTCCAATGGGTTGTAAATATTCATATCAAAAGATACAGTAGTGCTTGATAATACCAGTACAGGTAGAAAACCAGTCTGTGGGAATAATTTGGATCACATAATTTTACAGCATTCATGAATAGCGAGTTTATTTATTATCCTGATGTTTTTAGCTTCAGTTTATTGTGCTTATCAACAATAATAATAATGATGATGATGATGATGATGATGATGATGCCAGCTGAGGTTTTACTTGGCATTTTAGTTTTCAAAGCCCTTCCATTTACAGTCTCATTTAAGACTAGACAGCTCTGCAGGGGTAGGTTGGGAAAGAGATTATATCCATTTCATAATCCAGGCACAGAGAAGTTAATTGGCTGATCTAAAGTCTTACAGCAAATCAGTAGCAAAGTCAGGATGAGCCTTCAGCTTTGCCCTGTCTACCCTGTTGTTCAGGTCTCAAGGCATGTCTTGATTTTGAAGTTTGCTAGGTAGGCCTAAAATATCTTTAGTTTTTCTTTTTAATTAATGTATGGGCTTTAAAGCATATATTTATATGCTATTACCAGGAGAGACAATTATTATTTCTCAGGATCCCAGAGAGAGTTAGAAGGAAGACCTAAGTTTGAGGTCTTTCCTTTTACTTATTAGCTGTCAAATTCCTTTGCCTGTCTGAGCCTCATTTCCACTTAGGCAAGATGGAGATGAGGTTGTCTTGTCTACCTCATGGTTATTGTGGGGGTAAAGTGCTCCAGACTCTGTAATGCACTGCACAGAGTCAGTTCTTATTCCATTCAGCATTTATGATTTATGATGTTGGATTTTATAGAGCCCTGTGTTAGGGATTAGGGGTAAGGTTCAGACCCAGACTTGGAGTGGGTTGTCCAGGAGATTATCATTGACTTCATTCTTGAGTAAATTGTGTTTTTGTATTTCCCATAGCTCAGCACACAGAGCTCTTTATTTCAATGCTATTTTAATTAGATGACCTTAATAAGGGCATTTTCACAGAAGGAAAAATACAGGGGGAAGAAAAAATATTATGGTTCTCTCTGAGAGGAACTCAGAGAGCTAGGCAGAGTTTTTACCTGCAGCAAATGAAGGAAGGTTGAGCTCACTGCACAAATTGTATCAGTGAGATTATTAGGAGTATGTTTACCTTGTTAAAGTAAGGAAACTAGCCCCAAACTTTTACACATTTGCATACAATATATCACAAGGTAGTCCGGAGTTCATACTGCTCAAGTGTGTGCTAATTATAGCTCACTATCACTTTGTTAAAACTGGGTTTCTGCTGGCCACCATTTAGTTTGATTGATTGCCACTTGGTTCCAATTCCTGAAAGTAGAGTCCATCCTAAAATCTTAGCTGGGATGAGACCCCAGCCACTTGGGCTGGTTGGTGGATGCTCCCTGGGTAGGAGCTTGGATGAATAGCATGGCCAGCATGGGGGCAGGAAGAGCTGGGTTTATCTCCATTGTCTGACTGATGAGGAAGTCTCTCTACTTTTTGGTCCCCCAACTTGCTCATTTCTGTTGTGGAGATTGTCTGCAATGCAGAGCTTTGCTAATTCTGGCAGGACTGAATTATAATTTAATATGTAATGATTTTTAATATGACATATATAATTCATTTAGGACTGTTTAGAAAGTTGGGGATAAGTTTTTTGTTTTAGATTATACTCAGATGGATCTATAATCTCATTCAGTGCTTCCTACATCCCAGGTGCTGTAGAAAAAAGCACAATGGCCCCTGCCTTCCAGGAGCTTACGTTCTATTGGCCTTTCTTCCTCTGGTGCGTAGGCCAGCCTGACCGTGCTTTTTCATCTTCCCAGATCCTTGCCCATGGAGCTTCCATGGATGACCCTCCCACAGCGTACCAGAGGCCTTCTTCTCTCTGGCCTTTTAGTGTTTTGTGGACTTCTGGGCTGTGTTCTGGCCCTTCCCTTCTGCTCTCGTTGAGTGACTGGCCCACCTTCTTCTTTTCATGCGGGTGGTATTCAGTAGCCTGCTTATTAAGCATCTTCTGTCTGGAACTATGGGTCTATAGAGACAAAAAATAAAATAACCCTTGCCCCTGAGGGCCTTATACAATATCATTTTTGTAACTTTATAATGAAATGCATCATTGCATAGCTGTGTAGTGTCACTGAGAGAATACTCTTATTAAAAGATTTTAGTTGAAATAAAAATTGAAAAAAACCCAAAAGTCCAGAATACTAAAATGAGAATTGGATTAAATGGTAATCCATTAAGACCACAGTAGTGATCAGCTGTTTGATTTGTTCTCTTCCCCCCTTTTCCCCTCTCCCTTCCCACTCCCCATTTTTTCTGCAGCCAGTCGCTTGGGGTTGTATTCCAAAAATTCCCAGTCAGTTTCAGGAGAAGAAATTGATGCAATGGATGTGCAGCAGCTTTCACAAATAGCACCAAAGGTATGCTTAAAAAGCAACAGCATTTTATATTGCATCTGTGTTTTTTGGAAGGAGGTTTGATTTTTTTTTAAATTTCATTTAATTTTTTAAATTCAATTTGTTTTCAGTTCCAAATTATCTCCCTTCTCCTGCTCCCTTTCCCACTCATTGTGAGAAGTCAGGAAAAACAATTAAAAATTGTTTTTATGTGACAAGTTACAGATATATATAGTCAAAAGCAACAACATTTTAACAAAATGTAAAGGGCACATTACAAACTTGAATTGCTTATGGGGAAAACGAAATGTTTCAGGGGAAAACATTCTATAAATGACTAAAATAAGCAATAGATTTGAGATTCCCTTAAGAGGTAGACTTGAAAGCCTTCAGAATGGATTTTGTGGCTTAATAACTTTAAATTAATTAGTATTCTTATCTCAAAAGGCCCTTAGGAGTGTTTGTAGTTTCATATGCTTTGTGACAGAATTATTCACTGTAATTAGGACTTTGAAATGTTATCTTAGCTCTTTAACTTTGTTTATCATCTGGTTTTGGGATATAGTAACTGTAGCAGTCTTGCATGGAGTGAAGGAAATGGAGGAAAAAGGAGAGGGACTTAGGAAGATAAAGTAGCCAGTAAAGCCGGAGGGGGCGAAGGGGGCATGTGCTCCCCGGCCTGGGAGTCTAAGTTAGTGGTTTGATCATCCATGACATCCTGCCGGCCTTTTTGACCTTCCAGGAAAGGACAGGGATGCTGTCATCGATATAGATCCTTATCTGCCATTCATCTGTCAGCCTTCTTCTGGGGATTAATCTGATCCTCGAACACACTCGCTCTGTGTTTTCAGTTATCTTCCAGGTGCGTCCCATAGGACTTAGTACAGTTTTAAAACCTGGGGAAAAACACAAATATAAAAAACAGAAAAGCCAAGAACTGCATTAAGACTTTTGGGACACCCTGTAATAGACCGCATAGCTTCTCAGTGCGTTTTTTCTCCGTCACTCACTTCTTTAACCTGAGACTTTGTCCACTGCTGTGTTCTTTCTAATCATTATCACTAACCCTGGGGCCCCTTTCATTTCTTGCTGCTTCTCTGCCATCCTCATTCCCTGATTGGTGGGGTTAGATTTTTGTCTGTGGCAAGAAGAGGCTTACATGCCCAGCAGGTTTTTTGAGCACTTGTTCATCTTGACTTTTTTCCCTCTAACTATATTCCTTGTATGGATGTGTGGGTGCTTTTCCCCAGGAGGCCTAGGCAATACGCTAAAGAAAGAGAGTTTGTTCTGAAGGTTTTCTTTTTAAAAAATTCCTTTTATTGATTTTAATTATTTTCCAAAGGCTCAGGAGGAGAAACAACTCTCAGGTTGTTTCTGCATTTAAAAGACTCCCCTCCCCCCCTTTTTTTTTCCTATTCTGACCCAACCTTCATTTTATTTTATTTTTTAGAATTTAGTGCCATAAGGAAACGTAAATCCCATCCTGTACCCTGTAGAAGTAATGGCACAAAGTAGATTAACAAGGATAACTGGAGTCTATAGTTAAGGTCTGATTCTTCCATTCAGCTTCTTCCTGTCAGACCTTTCATCTCAGATATGATAGCCAAATGGTGTTAAAATTGGGCAGATTGAGGTATTTTTTGTCTTATTTTACTTATCCTGTTTGTGATTTGGTCCCTGATAAAGACAATTATGAATATTAAAAATTCCCTTAAAGGAGGGAGAGAAAATTAAGAACCTGGATAATCCACATTAATTGCTAAAAAATTGAAAATTAATTATTAAAAACATTTTATAAAAAACTATCATATTTATTATCTTTGGTCCTTTGAATACTGACTTTGTGTTATTTGTCACTGGCATTAGACTGTCATTAAAATTGTGTCATTTTTGGAAAGGATTCAGAGGTCTAGAGTAGTAAATGAAATGAATTAGAAGAAAGAATGAAAATGGAGAGGAAAGACACTTACTTGAACTTGGATAAAAAAGAATCAGGAAGGACTTTCACATTATAGGGAAAGACTGTGAACAACCACTTACCCTCCCTTTTCTAACTCCATTAGTGACCGAAGGAAGGACATGAAGATCACCAGGAACCACTGTGTGGGACCAAGAGAATTTGTCATCTTTTTTTTTTTAGTATCTTGACAGCTTAAGGTGGGGTTCACTCTGTTGCTGTATAAATAGAGGGTTAGCTCAGACAACCTGTCTCCCTTGGGGTGTTTGCATTCCTGTGGTTTCTGTGGTATTTGAGGTTCCTACCATCACAGGTGTCCTAGAAAGGTACAACGTCCCGATATCAGTAAAGTGAGGCTAGTAAGTGATGAGAAAGAATGAGCTCGGTATCTATCACTTGGATATTCTACGGAACTGAGATCCCCATTTTGCTTTTTCTTTAGGTCGCAGTTTTTTACAGAGCCAGTCCAAGGCACAAGTTGAAAATCATTAAGGTAAGTGCCTGAAGTAGACAGTTGGCCTCTGCTCATGTCTGCACCTCTTGCTTTATATGCTTTTGGTAAGTTTTGAGGTTTATACCCATGTCCTGCCTCTGTGGCTGGGAAATGATAGTGCATTAGGGAGTGGATACAAATGGTCAATCCAGGGGGAAGCGTGAGTGGTGGCCCGAGAGGCTGCCTTGCTGCTTAGGCCTGAAGCTGAGCTGCTCTGAATGTCACCAATCTGTTGGTAAGACAGTGCTTCCATTCCCAGAATCCGTGTCTCCTCCACATGGTCCTTGGGGTTCTGAAGCGTCTGGGACAGCCAGCCCCCCCACAAAGGCTCCACATGTATCCTGACCTGGCCCAGGTCAGGTCTGCTTTGTGAGGTCAGCCCAGCTAGGATCAGAGAGGTCCAGGCCTGTGGGGCCATGGCAGCCCATGAAAGAAAGACAGAAAAATCGATTTGCTTTTTAAAGAATATTAGTATTATTTTGAATCCAGGCCTATTACATGAAGGCTTGGTAAAGTGCGATGTAGGGATGAGAAATAGATGATGTTAAAACATAAAACTGGAGTACGAACAAGTTAACAGACAAAGGAAAATGGCAGATTTAAAAGAAAACTACTACTAAATGCAGTAACTTTGAAATGTAGTCAATTTTAAATTGACAGTAAGAAAGAAAATGTGTCTGTTACAACAAAAGCCTAGAACTAGGAAACTTTTAATAGTAGCTAGTATTTACATAGCACTTTAAGGTTTGCAAAGAGCTTTGCAAATACCTCATTTTATCCTCATGATAACCCTGGGAGGTAGATGCTGTTATTATCCCCATTTTACAGATGAAGAAAAAATGAGGGAGACAGAGGTTAAGTGAGTCCAGGGTTACACAGCTGGTAAGTATCTGAGACCAGATTTGAACTCAGATCTTCCTCACTCCAGGCTACATCTCCTAGCTTTTAATAAACACTGGTTGTTTTTGACAGCAGTCTTTAATCTCAGTCTAAATGGTAGACTAGTAACTGAATGAACAGAAGAGATGGAAATGAGGGAAGAGTAAAAGATGATTGAATATTGGGCATCTCTATTAGCTGGCTAAACTGAAAAATGTCAGACACATAAGAGCAGTACTGTGCTGTTTATGGAGTGCTTTGCATATTACTAAATGTTAGAAGGGAGGAAAGAATTGCAGGGGAGTAGCACTGAGCTTGGCCTCAGAAAGACCTGGGTTCAAGGCCCATTCCTGCTTGGTGGCTGTGAACCTGGGTAAGTTGTCTAACCGTTGGGTGCACCAGCAGCCACCAAGAACGTCTCTGCTAAGCCAGAGGGGGAGGAGGACTTCAGAGAAAATTCTGTTTTGTTTTGTTTCTTTTCAGGCTCACGTTATCTCCCTCCCACCCCCCAGCCCCCCATTAAGAAAGCAAGAAAAACAGAACCACGCACAACAAATATGTCAGAGCCCATTTCTGCATTGGCTCTGTGTGTGTGTGTGTGTGTTTGGATTCATGGTTGAGCATTTGTATTGATCAGATTTCCAAAGTCTTTCATTTCTCTTTCTCTATAATGCTATCATTGTATAAATTATTCATCTAGTTCTATTGACTTCTTTCTACGTCATTTCAAAAAGATCTTCCCAGTTGTCTCTGAAATTTCTCATTTCAACATTTCTTATGACATTAATAATAACAGCTAATATTTATGTAGCACCTACTAATGTGCCAGGTACTGTGCTGAGCACTTTACAATTATTTTCATCTGCTTCTCACAACAACCCTGGGAGGCAGGTACTGTTATTATCCCCATTTTACAGATAAGGAAACTGAGGCAAATACGGATAAGTAACTTGCCTAGGGTCACATAGCTAATAAGTGTCTGGGGCCAAATTTGAACTCATGTCTTCCTGACTCCAGGCCCAGCGCGCTATCCACTCCACCACCTAGCTGTAACATTCCATTATATTTATAACAAATAATGTGTTTACTCATTCCCCAATCAGAGGTCAGCCCTTTAATTTCTAATTTTTTGTAGCCATAGAAAAATTACCTATAGATCCTTTTTTCTCTGAATTCTTTGGGATATAAGCCAAGCAGTGGTATAACTGGGTACAAGCATATTCAAATTTGGTATCTTTCTTCGCATAGTTCCAAATGCTTTTCAGAGTAACTACATCAGTTTGCAACTCCACCAGCAGTAAACTAGAATCCCAGTGCGTCTGTTTTTCTCCCGTATCTCCAGCCTTTGTTATTATCAACATAAAAATCGTGCAAGGATTCATTGCTAGGTACTTCCGCCAGTCAGACTTGATGAACACATGGAGGCATTTTGATAACTGGTTTGTTATCTTAGTGTAGGTTCCCTGGCACACAAAAATCAGGGAGTCACAGGTGGCATTTTCAGAAGTCTTATATGGGACAAGGTAGGATGGATACAATTGGAATGGTACAGAGAGCAAAGGGGAAGGTAGAGATCTCCACATCAGAGAGCCAGTAGCGGAGGAGAAAGCTCTACATTGAAACACATTACTTACTGTAGGCTGCACGTGAGTTTTAGGTGAGACAGCTTTGGCAGGGAAAGGCGAAATGGTCTAATTGGGATCATTTTGTAAGTAAAAGTTAGAATTTCCAGCTCTTTTGGTTTGATATTAAACATAGTATAATGTTGTATAATCTTAATTGTGGATAAAGTCATTGAAAATGGATAGATTTACCTGTAAACCTTTTTACCAAGCTTTCTTTTTTTTCCCCAGTCCCTCCAGAGTAATGGTTCGGTCGTAGCGATGACTGGAGATGGAGTTAATGATGCCGTCGCCTTGAAGGCTGCAGATATCGGAGTAGCAATGGGACAGACAGGAACAGATGTTTGTAAAGAAGCTGCAGATATGATCCTGGTGGATGATGATTTTCAAACAATAATGTAAGTTTTGTTTTCATAGAAGTTATTTGAAACAAAGTCTTCTCCCCTCAACCAGGAAATTCCATGAGAAAATTATGTGAGATATTTAAATATTATCATCTAAATGATAGATGGCCTATTGGAATAGAAAATAAGTTTCTGTTTTATATGCAGATGTTTAGTGTTTCATTCCTTGAATTCTTTTCAGTTTTATCATGAGTCATAAATATTCAGTACATGTTTGCTCTCTACCCATTATGATCTTGGCTACATCACAAGGGCTTAGGATTCAACTGTTCTGAAACTGAATGTTGTCCTAACACTGAGACAGAATTGAGGAGAACATGGGTTCATTCTTCATTTTCACTCAGGCTTTTCCAAAGTCTCTTTTAACTTTGAAGTTTTTATCTTAGAAGAAACTTAAATGTTTAGAGCTCTATATGTAATTAGGTCTGTCTGAGTGATCCCACTTACAAACATGCCTACAGGTTTAGGTCTGCATCCTAAAAGCAGAACCTTCTATAGACACTGCACTGGTGCTGCACTGGTGGTTTTCTTATCTGTAAAAGTGAAATAATCATATTTGCACTTCCTACCTTACAGGGTTGGTTGTGGGGGGGGGCAGCTAAAAATAAACCATAGTGAGTCATTGCATCATGAAGGAAAAAATGAGAATTGTAATATCGTGTCATTAGCAATACTAGATACTTAGATAGCAGTTTACTTTTTACAAAGAATTTTCACCGCTAGGATCTCATTTTACTCATAACCTTTTGGGGCTGGCCAGACAAGTCCAACTCCCATTTTCCAGGAACCATAAGTGACTCTCACTCTCTCCAAAGTTAGCCTTCATCTCCTGATCTCCAGATCTCGGTGTTCCTTCTCCTTGACTTCTCTGCGGCCTCTTGATGCTGTCAGTTGCCATCTTTTCTCTGATGCTCTTATCTCTAGGTTTTTGGGACACCCTTTCTCCTGCTTCCCCTCTTGCCTGTCTGATGGATCTTCAGCTGGGTCAGACCCACTGACCTTGAGTGTCTCACAGGGCTCTGTCTGGGGCCTTCTTCGCTTCTCCCTCTATACTAGTTCACTTGGTGATCTCGTCAGCTCCCGTGGATTTAATTGTCATCTCTCAGCTGAATATTGAATCTCTCTGTTCAGTCCTCATCTTCTTTCTGTTGACCTCTGATCTCACGTCTCCAGCTGCCTTTCAGCCATTGCAAACTGGATGTCCGGTAGACATCCTTAATTCAGTATGTCCAAATAAGAACTCCTCATCTTTTACCCTAACTCGTCCTCCTCTCCTACTTTCCCTGTTACTGTTGAGGGCAACACCATCCTTCCAGGTCCTCAGGCTCACAGCCCAGGAGTCATCCTGGACTCCCCACTCTTCCTCCCCTCCACATCCAGGCAGTTGCCAAGGCCTATTGATTTCACCTCTAGCATTTCCCGAACACACCCCCTTCTCTCCTCTGATGCTGCCACCCCCTTGATGCAGACCCTCATCACCTCACCCCTGGACTACTGTAGTCGCTGCTGGAGGAAGTCTCTCCCTACTCCAGCCCGTCCTTCATTCAGTCACTAAAGTGATTGTCGTGGAGCACAGATCTGACCATGTCACCTCCCTACTCAATAAATTCCAGTGGTTCCCTATCACCTCTAGGAGCAAATGTAAAATGCTTGTTTGACATTCAGAGCCCTTTGTAACCCAGCCCCCTCCTGCCTTTCCAGTCTTCTCACAACTTCCTCCCCAACATGTCTTCTTCAATCCCATGACACTGACCTCTTGGCTGTTCAATAAGCGAGACACTTGTCTCTTGGCTTCAGACGTTCTCTCTGGCTGCAATGCTCTCCCTCCTGTACCTAATGGATTCCCTGGCTTGTTTCAAGTCCCAAGTAAGATCTCATCTTTGGGAAGCCTTTCCTAATCCTATGTTAATTATTTCCAACTTATACTGCATGTAGCTTTATTTGCATATATTAATTTGCTTATTGGCTCCCCCATTAGATGTAAGCTCCCTGAGGGGGGAGGGACTCTCTTTTTATTAATTGTATTTCCAGTGCTTGGCACAGTGCCTGGCATATAGGTGTTTAATAAGTGCTTGTTGACTGACTGATAAGTGATAACCTCTAATAAGTGGTCAGTTCAGTGAGGACAAAAATTGTCTTTAACCTAAACTTTAATTAATGTTGAATGAGTCAGTAAGCGGCCAAGTCAGAACTTAGGCTACAAGTCTGTATTTGCCCTCCCTCATCTTTTCCACTGACCTGTCTTCTCGAGTAATTCTGTGGGCCTGTGATCTTATCGGCTTACAGCTCTTCCCAGTGACTGTAACTGCAGCTCACCTCCATGTTCTCCCCTTGGGCCACTCTTGTCCATGCATCCTGAGGCAGACCTTCCACGGAGGTTCTGCCCAATGTATTGGGGGCCTTCCTAGATTTCTGTCAGCATTTGGCGTGTGCCAAGGAATCCCATGGGCTCTCCCTCAGTTATCTTTCTTGCCGTGTGACCAGCCCCACCTGTCTGGTTAGCCATCTCTCTTTTGGATGTCCATTTTATGCCTTAACGTGGACAATTCTGACTTCCCCTTGCTCTTTGGGTAATCCTCACCTTTAATTCTGTACCCTGTACCTTTACATGAGCAAGAATTGATCAGATATAACTAGATGATAAATTCCTTGAGTTGAGGAATCATTTCTTTACTATTTCAGTATCTTGTACAGAGTTGTTTAATAAATGTTTGTGGAAGTGAACTAACTTAGGACAGAGGGCTTCTTTAAAAGATAAATTTTAATGACACACTGATTAAATATTTGATCTGTTAGAAATTCATTTGTTTTCAAAGTAAATTTCTCAGTTTGGGGTTGCTGTTCTAAGTAGATATTTATTGATTCCCCCTCTCCCCCCCCCTTTTTTTTTTAACAATACCTAGACTTCTCTGTTTCTCTTATCTTTCCCGAAATGTGATTCCTTAAAATTGGGTTAAGGTTGAGCTCACCTTATCTGATAGAAATGTTCATGCTAAATTGTTTTATGTGTTTTAGGTCTGCAATTGAAGAGGGTAAAGGGATTTACAATAACATTAAAAATTTTGTTAGATTCCAGTTGAGCACGTAAGTTGGCACCATTGTGTCTCTTAATTTTTTTTTTTATTAAGTTAATGCAGAATGCCTGGAAGTGGCTGTTTTCTGTTTGAATGTCATGTCTGCATCTGAATGCTTGGGAAAATAGAACAAGATTAAAGTAAAAGATATAGTTAGTTTGTTTATTCTAAATCAAAAAATAGTATTCATCAGTAGGTCCTAGTTATAATTAGAAATGTCCATGTATCTAATAGTATTTGCTGCATCTTTCTATTTACAGTCAGGTCTAGAGTAAATAAGTTAGAGATCATCGAAGCTTAACAGCTGCTCATAGCTTCTTTTCTCACCAGATAAGTGCTTGGTTTTTGTTATTAATTAGTCCAATTGTTTATGATCCTTAAACGGTGTTAATTCTGTACCTATAGATCATTACTAATTTTTAAGGTACTTAGGAAATCTGGAAGTTCCTGTTTGAAACCAAAACAAATTTTGTCAGTGTGTTGTACGCAAACTGCAATCTAAAGTGTGATCAAAAGCTGTATTAAGAAGTATAGTATTGCATGTTCACTTTTGAGTATTTGTTCTTCAAGTGCCTACTATGTTTTTATCTTAGAGCTTATGACTATTTGAATATTAAATTTGTCTTTAAAACCGAGGTAACGACACAATTATTAAGAAATTAGCCTTGTGTAATCAGCAGGAATTTGCCATGCTCACAGCTTTGTTTAATGGCTTTTTTTTGCAGGAGCATTGCTGCATTAACTTTAATCTCGTTGGCCACATTAATGAACTTTCCCAATCCTCTCAATGCCATGCAGATTTTGTGGATCAATATTATCATGGATGGGCCTCCAGCTCAGAGGTAATGGGCTGTTTCAAATGGGATCTAGAAAGGTAAAGGTCCTGTCGGACCTAAATGAACTATTTATATGTCTCATTATTTCTTCATAATGTGAACCATGTTAAAAAGCTGTTTTCCAATGTCTGGGAATAGGTATGTTTATAGTGATGTCTTAATGGAATTCGTTATTAAGGTGTCTGTGTTCAGTCCCTAACTCAGCTGCTGGCTTGCTGAGCGATCATTGGATAGAATATCCCTTGTGTTCTCCATGGCAAAAGGACACGTTGCTCCTGGGAGAGCTTACAATAGGAGAAATATAGTACAGATCCCATAGCAATATTTGTCAATACAGTCAAATCCTCTGCATGACGAGACCTAAGTCCTCAGTAATGGGTCCAATATTTATTTCAAGCAACATTTGAGAAATAATTTTCAATGTAAAAGAATTTGGAATTTGACACATTTGATTAATTATTGAAGTACAGGGAGTGTTATACAAATGCATGTGTGCAAAGGAGTTACACATTAGAATAATAGAGCTTTATTAATGCTAGTAATACACAACAACTTTCTTTTGGAAATGTGGTAGAGTGGAAAGAGCCCAGTGAATTCTGACATTGTGACTCTGAGCAAGTCCATTTCTTTGGGACTCAATTTCCTCATCTGTAAAAATGAGGAGGTTGGACTACATGATCTCAGAATTTCCTTCTATCATTCAAATTCTTTGATTATAGGCAGTATTTCTAGGATCTACATAGAAATCACAAATGTGGACCTCAAATATTTGAAGCTATTTGGTTTTTCTCTTTGCTTTTAAGCCTTGGAGTAGAGCCTGTGGATAAAGATGTAATTCGTCAACCTCCAAGAAACTGGAAGGACAGCATCTTGACCAAAAATTTGATTGTTAAAATACTGGTTTCATCCATAATCATTGTGTGTGGAACTTTGTTTGTCTTCTGGAGAGAGGTATGAATAGAAAGCAGGACATTCCCATCCTTAGTAGTTAGGCTCAGATTAGTCTTAATGCTTCTAAAAAAATAATCTAGGAAAGGCAAAAGAGGAGGTATCAGGAGTAAAGAAGTAAAGCAGAAGACATTCTCCTTTAACAGTTTGAGTAACGATGTGGCGGCCCCAGTTTTCTCTTTGCTCCTTTGGGGTGGGCAGGTCAGTTAGCGTTTAGGTGTACTTATTATTTGATAGTACCTTATGGTTTCTCTCTCTTTTCCTTTCCAGCTTGAAAGATAGGGCAGGGCCTTATTATTTAGGGTTCCTTGGAGAATCTTTAAAATGGTGACCTCCTGTTCACTAAAAACTCAATCAGAGCAGCAGAGGTCATTGAAAATGTCCATTACGTGAGCATTCTCAGCCTTTTCTTAAAATGAGTTGTGCCTATGCTGATGGGGTGATTTATTTAAATGACTTGTGAGAAATTTGATTTGGGTTTGTTTGTTTTTTTTTCAACATGTTGTGCCTTAGAATACAGTTGTTTAGTAAGATGATAAAGGAAATGCTCATCTTGAAAGTACATGCCAGGTTCAGGTGTTGAGGGCAGCCCCTAGGAGCTGTTTCCTTTTTTTCTGTTGGCAGCTACGGGACAATGTGATAACACCTCGAGATACAACAATGACTTTCACTTGCTTTGTATTTTTTGACATGTTCAACGCTCTCAGCTCCAGATCACAGGTATGCCGTTGACTTAATATTTAGGAAGCAGGGTTCAGTGGAATACTCTGTTAATGAGGCTAGAGTTGTGGACTAGATCCCTTCTGTTCCATGGCCACAGATTCCAACCCCAAATAGCTACCCTGCAAATTCCTATAATTGGTCACAAAGGGGACTAGGAAAGAGTTAATGAATGGTAACTTCAGATCTTTAGCAATACAGAAAAAGCACACAGAGTCTATATCTATGCCCTGTGAATGTCAGCCATACCTTCTAGGTGGTCTAGTGGCTGGAGTACTGGACCTGGTATTAGGAAGACCAGAGTTCACATCTAGTCTCAGACACTCACTGTGTGTGACCCTGGACAAGTCACTTTACCTCTGCCTCAGTTTTACCATCTGTAAAATGGGGGTAATAGTAACACCTACCTCCCCAGATTGTCATGAGGATAAAATGAGATATTTGTAAAGTGCTTTGCAAATTTTAAAGTGCCAAATAAATTCTAGTTAGCTAGTACTCATAGTAGTAGTAGTAGCATATAAACATGGCAGTACAAATTCTACATATGTCAAGCCAGACATAGATACATATAAGCCCAGGTCCTCCAAAGGATTTACTGTTTGGGATGGAAATACATTTTTTTCTCCTTAAGCTGTTGCTGGAGTGATGTTCTGTGGGAGGAGCATAGGGGATTTAGTTTGGACTGTTTTTGTTTTTTTTCCTAGCAAGTTTAGTTTTTCCCAGGTGAGAAGTGTTTTTGCAAGATTGAAGTGTTTTAATAGATACCATCCTGGAAAGTCTTGATAAGACGAATGGCTTTATAAACTTCAAGTTAATAGGATTTTCTGCATTAAGTAATTAGTGGGCAAATTAGAGTAGTGCGTTGTCTTTATGTTGCTACAGATGTCTCCTTCAAGCCAAAGACCAAGAAAATATAGGACCTGAGCTGCTGTTTGGGTCTCATCATGTTTTATATCATCTTACAATTATGATCCATCATCTGGGAATTATTTATTTAAATTTTGTAAAAGCAGATTAGATGAAAAAAGAGGTGGAAAAAAATGAAGTTGAAAATTTTTAACTTTTATTTCTATTACCAATAATTTTTTTTTTCGGTGAGGCAATTGGGGTTAAGTGACTTGCCCAGAGTCACACAGCTAGTAAGTTATATGTCTGAGGTTGGATTTGAATTCAGGGCCTCCTGACTTCAGGGCCAGTGCTCTATCCACTGCGCCACCTAGCTGCCCCCCCAATAAATTTTTTTAAATTACTTTCTCCTTTTTAAAAAAAATGTTTGCGTAGAATGATGTATGATAGTGAAACTTTTGTTAAGTACACGGTGTTTGAAAATAAATATAAATTAAGGTTGAAATAAAGTTTCTAAGGGTTCATTGAAATGCCACTAAATATGTTTATCCCCATAGTACCCCACTGTGTTAATTTATGAGCATGGTATTATTTCATTAATCTTGACTGAGGGTATCATTTAACTCTGAATTATTTAAGAGGTGTAATTAGGAAATATATTTTAATGCTATTTATTACTTTCAAGAATATAAGCTCTGAAGAGAAGCTAGGACAGAGATGTTACCTAGCAGTAGTAGTTAAGGGATGTGCTTTAATGAAGAGTCAAGTTTTTACATAAATAGTGCATTAATCACTTGTGATATGTCTTTCAATATGTAGGGATCCTACCGTGATAATTCTCTGTGTAAGAGTAATAAATTTTGATTGTGTTGGCTAGGCAGTGTCTGACTATTGTTTACCTTTCCACCATGTGAGTTATTACAAGTTTCTTATTAATGATAGCTCCTTTAATGAAGTTTTCAGCTGTTCTTCCTATGTAAGTGTCCAGAAGTACAGTTTAATTTTGAAGAATCGTTCTGACTTTTTTCAGTGTCATTGACTCCTCAAAGGGTAGAGAGGGAAGGGGGGAAGTGAGGCAGTCACAAACGCTGGTTAGTCCTGCCTCCATCTTTATAATTTTTGAACTTGCCAAGATAGAGTTCTGACCAAGAATCTAAGTGTAGAAATATGTAACTGTGTTGTTCTATTTTCAGACCAAGTCTGTGTTTGAGACCGGACTCTGCAGTAATAAAATGTTTTGTTATGCCGTACTTGGATCCATCATGGGGCAATTGCTCGTTATTTATTTTCCCCCACTTCAGAAAGTTTTTCAGACTGAAAGCCTAAGCATACTAGGTAAGGAAGAAAAAGTAGCTGTATACAATATGGAGAATGCTTATATTTATTAAGATCTAGGTCACCAGTGATTGGTCTGTAAAGTTTTCAAGGCCTTTTCAATTGAAAAGGATGTCTACCCACTTTTCCCTTTGGGTGGGCGAAGGGGAAGCAGACCCCTAATTCATCATTAGGGGTGAATTCACAATTGCCTCTGACAGCTACACATTGGGAGTGTGTAACTGAAACATTACAGCTTTCTCATATAATGCACAGCGTAACCTTGGTGAAAAATATACCTGTTTCGTCCCAACAGTTAGAAGCAAAGAAATTAAAATTAAGGCTTCGTGGAAATGATCCATTATTTCCGTGACTTGCTCTATTTAAGGAGTCCGCATTGGTATGTTATAAATATAAAGTAGTTGTTATTCCATATTCGGTATGTAAAAATGACGGATTTTGAAATAATAGTATCTTCACTTCTTAGGTTTACTTCCTCACATACCAATATAGGATATAAAATTGTACATTTTCTTTGTAAACAGTTTGAACCAGTGACTCTAAAATACTGTTTCTGTGGAAGGCTTCATTGGAATGTAGATCATGGGAACATTGCTGCTGCCACTGAAGTTTTTCTTATTTCAGATTCCCTTCAGACATGAGCTAGTTTTCATTTCTTTATATACCTGCTTCCCCCTTAATAGCTGTTTAATTAACTGTGGCTTTAAAAGGAAAGCAGACCATCACTGTGCTTGTTGTTTTAAAGCCATGTTTACATATATATGTGTATATATATCTATATATATATAGATATATGTGTATATATATCTATATATATATATAGATATATATATATAATTTTTCTTTAAATTTATGACTCTTTACAAAAGAATAGGGTAGATGCCAGCATCCCCCAGTCTCTCAAGATTTTCTTCAGTAAAATACCTGGAACCACCAACAGTAGCTGGTGGGATTTTCTTTGCCTTCCACTGGAAGTCTGGAAAGGATGATCACCCGAGATGATTTTGTAGTCAAATAGAAGAGAGTCCTGGACTAGTCATCAGGAGACCTGGATAATTATTAATAGCACTCGATAGTTTAAGAAATACTTTGCACAACCTGTCACATAGTGCAAGTATTATTCTCTCCGTTTTAAAAATGAGAACACTGAGGTGCTAGTAAGTTGTGTGGTAATAGCTAGTCAGTGTCAGAGCCAGAATTGGAATTGCCGTCTTCTAACGCAGGCTGCCCTGAACTCTGACACAATACAACGTGGTAGAGTACAGTGCACGTTTATTAAGAGCCTGCTATGTGCCAGGCACTCTGCTGTGCTCTGGGGAATTGAAGAGGAAAAGGAAAAGCGGTCCCTGCTTCTCTCTCAAGGTAGAAGACAGTTCAGAGAAGGGACCTGGGGGCGGACAAGGAGGGGGGATAGACTGGAATCCAGAGTGCCCTTGATGGGAAATGAAGCCTTGGCTGGCCTTCTAAGGCCCCTGTGCTGTTCTGAACATGCCTACTGTGAGGCTCAGCTTCCTTCCTCATCTTTAAGATGGGAACGATCCTGGCAAGACCCACCTCATTAGGCTGTTGAGGAAATGCCTTGTCACCTGAAGGGCTCCATTTGTGCCCCGTGTGTATTTGAGCTCATCTGTTTCATGGGTGTATCACAGGATCAGTGCGTGAGAACGTGTTCTGACGGCTGGCAGGTACCCCAGAACTGTACGGTAGGATTGGTCTGCCAGGTGTCTCACAGGCAGGGCTGCGTCCCGCACAGCGTTCAGGAGCTAACGCCTGGCTTCTCTCTTGCAGATCTGCTCTTCCTGCTGGGCCTCACGTCCTCGGTGTGCATAGTATCAGAAATCATCAAGAAGGTTGAGAGGAGAAGGGACAGGAGCCCAAAGAACGGCCCATCGACGTCCTCCTCGTCCTCCTCCTCGTTTCTTGACGTGTGATGCATATTGCATTCTTAATCTTCTGGCACTGCGGCCTGAGGTTGTGCTGGAGAGGCGACATCGCGTGGGGGTTCTGAGGACGTGTTCATAATGTCTTCACACGAGCACTGACGTTAAAGACGGCTGGAGGATTGAGCCTTCACCCACCTTGCCTGCTGCTGGGAGTCGCCAATGAATTATGCAACTTGGATATAATTTTCCTTGATAAAATTGGCTTTGGAGATGGGAACTTTATGAAGGATGTGGGAGGTTAATTTAAAACAAAAGAGGATGAGGAAGGAGAATGGCAAAGCCTGACCCACCTTCTGCACTTAAGAGGTCTGACTGTATAGATAAACTGTCCATCTTAGATATAAATATTTTAGTTCTTTTTTATTTTTAAATATTGTATTCCTTTATGGTGGTGGGGCTTTGTTACTAATACATGAATAAATTTAACCCTTTAAAAGGCATTCTCTTCCATTTAGACATGGAGTCACAGGAGTGAGTGCCAGACTTCAGCTACTGTATTTATTTACTTTATTTTGCCATGTAAACAACTCCAGCTCTCGTCGCTGCCATTTTGGTATCCTATTGGGTGTTTTGCACAGGATGTGACCACTGTCGGATCACTGTTTTCTTTTCTTTCTTTTTGTGATTGAAAAGCCGATTCTGCGATTTGAAGTAAATGTTTGCTTTTCGTAGTAGGTGTACATGCTTGCATTTTCTTTGGAGATGTGAATCTTTGGGGTCAAGCAAAACCTTCACACATCTGGGCTCGGGATCATTAAGTGGCCTGCAGTTAGGACAATCCAATACCTTCTCTCACCCTTCTGTTATCAACACGATTCTTACACTGAGCCACAGCTGGAAACATGTAAGCCAGTGGTGGGCTCAAGTTTATAATGAATTGTGTTAATGTGCTATACATCCTTCTCTTTTCAAATCGTAATACCTTTCATCACATAGTCTCATAATTTCTTAAAGTCCAGATTTGCCTCAGGAATTTCAGCCTGGATAATTTTTTACTCTTATTTAATTGTTATTTTTAATGATTTTCCTGTAACTTTTCATGTGGCCTTTCTTTAAATCATACAATCTGTTTTAAAAACAAAACCAAAACTCATAAATTTAGATCTAAATAAAGGATTCCTTTTTGCCCAGGAGAGAGAGGTCATTCCATGTACATCTTATACCTAGTTCCTGTGGTCACTCGGAGCCCACTTTCTGCCTTTGTGTGTCTTTCTTCCCTCTCCTTATTTCCACCATTTGCTTTCTACATTTACAAACCTGTATGAGTAGGCAAGTTGGAGAAATAATGGGGGATTTGCTTTCTGAATACTTCCATTCACTCTCAAAACTAGCAGTACAACAAGTATACTTGGAATAAATATTCAATTTTGGGTTCAGAGAAGATTCAGAATTGGAAATTTAATGCAGATTTTCTGACTCTCTGCTGAGTATTTTTGTTGTGGTGGTTATTTTGGTTTTTTGGTTGGGCAATGGAGGGGTTAAGTGACTTGCCCAGGGTCACACAGCTAGTAAGTGTTATGTGTCTGAGGCTGGATTTGAACTCAGGTCCTCCTGAATCCAGAGCCGGTGCTCTATCCGCTGCGCCACCTAGCTGCCCCCTGAGTATTTTTAACTTATAGCAAAAATAAATCTTAAAAAGTACTTGTTTAGTTTTACTTAAACTACTCAATTTTACATTTCACCCCTACATTTAAATAGCATTCTAGATTCTTGTGAAGTGTGGGAGGATGCCAGCTTAATCACTAAGATTAAATTATAAACATCAAAGCCTAAATAAATGTCCTGGGGGATTATTGAAGGTAACATAGAGAAAATCTGTCCTTGAGTTTACTCTTTAGAAAACTCCTAAGCTTTGACAGAAGTTCATGCCTAATTTTGCCTTTTAATGTTAAATGATCAGGAGCTATGATGCTTTGTTTCAGTTCTTTAATTTAGCTGGGGGTCATTGTGTTTCATCAGATATCAGTCTTGAGGGAAACTGTAGGTCATATTTAGCCTTTATTAGAGATTTCTAACTACCTACCCAGAGCGCTAATCATCTTCTCCTTTGCCATAGACAGACTTGAGATGTGTTAATAAACCTGGAGCGTTTATCTTTCATTTCATAGACATTATTTCCCTGTTGTACAGTTGAGGTAGAAATGAGGCTGCCTGTCCTCATTCTCAGTTGTTAAGGTAACAAGTTTTTTCTTTTATCAGCCATGTTTCTATATTAATGACATCTCCCAGATGTCATTGTAAGTCAGTATTTAAAATTACTTGTGAAAATGTTGTCAAAGAGAAATTAGGGTATGCACATAAATATGTTATGTAGACTGACTTCCAAAATGAGAATACAAAACTGCAGTAGAGAAATAGTCACATAGATGCCTGCTTGGAGTAGTGTGGATCATTTAAATGCATGGATATTTGCCTCGTGCCTTAGAGCTCTTAGAGGCCCTAGCCATACACATTCAACAAACTTTTAATTGAGGAGTTGCATTGTTACATTACACTGTACTAAGAGGATGTGGCATTTAGACAAGACACAATTCCAGCCTTTGTGGGTTTGACAGTCTTAATAAAGAAGATTACGTAAACAGAACTATATCATACAACATTTACTTGAGAAATATATTTGTGTTGCCAAGCAAAATTCTAAATGAAGTTTAAGGGGGAAAAGTGATTACTGGGGGAAGGGAGAAATTAGAGAAGACTCAATAAAGGCTGGCTAACTCTTCTTCCCCTGTACCACTATTGGCTAAAATTATTTAGCCATGAAAGGACCAAAACGTTACGGGAAAGAAGTGGACAAAAGAACCTGGAATAATCTACAAACCTGTAACAGCCAAGCAATCAATCACTGACCGCTAAAATTATTTCAAGGATCTGTGTTTCTGTCTTTGTGGGTATTCCACTTGCTCCACTGATGCTGAGTCCTATCCTTTTGTACTTTACTAGACTGGGTGAGTTGCTGTGATCAAAAATATTAGACCCTATGGCCACCTTTTGAGTAAGTAGCCTCTGAGTTTAGTTGATCTGATTCTTGAGTGAAAGACTCAAGAGTTTATGTTGGGAACCATGCTAAGACTCCTTAAAGTGATGGAGGATCCACTTGCATTATACCAGCACAACCTCTGGGAATCCCGTGTCATTTCCACATTATAATGAGGCCCTTCATTGGAGGTGAGGCAAATTAAAGCAAGCAACCTGATGAGTATCTTTCTGCTGAACCTTGATTAACCAGCAGGAGCGACAACTTGCTGGAGTGCATGGCTGTGAGAGCAGCTGGCTCATACATTTGTAGTGAATCATGAGGATAATGTGCACGCCTTACCTTTCAGCAGCATGTCACAAGTGTTTCTTTGAACAGTAATTTTGGTTTTTGTCATTTGCCCTTTCAGATGGGTTTCTGAAACTATGCATAAATCATAGGATTTAGAGCTAGCTAAAAATGTCCTGAGTGGCCATCTGGGCTGCCAACTGTTTCAGATAAGAAAATTAGACCCAGAGAAACTCGGGGGGCTTCCCTTAAGGTCACCGAGAGTAAAGTAAGAAGCCTAGTTCTCTTCACTCCAGATCCAGTGCCCTTATTTTTGATGTAAAATCTCACTTCCCCAATGATTTTCTTTATAATCTACCCCCTCCCCCTGAAAAATCACAAAATTCACCCTTCAGCCTACTTCCCCTAATATCCTGCTGTGTCACTGGTAAAGAAGTGACCCTGGCTTCTTGAAGGCTGTGTCAGAAGAAACTGAGTGCTTCTGAGTCCCACCAGGCTCTGAAGGCTTTTAACATTGGTCCAGGACCGATGACAGATCTGTCCACATGACCAGTTTGCTTCAGTTTGGAGAGGAAATCACCACAAGATTGGTCATTATATGACTGGCCACAATGGGTAATGATGCCTTTGGTGTAGTAGAGGGGGTATGATATGTCTGTATGGAGGAAAGGACCCAAACTGTTAATCATGGTCCATCTTGAAGTGTTCAAGAATCCTAGCTCAGACAGAATCTGGCTTTGTTTATTTGCATTTAATTTGCCCCACCTAAGTCCTAGAAGAAGAAAAACAGGTTATTGATTCATTATAGAAAGTTGGCACATAGTCATCTTTTATGTACTTATTCAGAAATAGACGTACGTTAAAATACACAAGACAATTCACGTCTCAGTGACTCATAGGATTTGTAAGCCACAGAAATGATGGCTTATTTCTTTTTAAGTTTGACATCACTGTGGTAGGCACTCGCCATTGCCTTGACCAATGCTGGATATTTCCCCAACCCTACAGTAAAAATCCATTATTGCTAACAAATGTTCCTCACGTGTCAGAGCTCAGTGAAAGGCTTGTAAGTCTTGGGGTCACAATTGACAGGCGGTTGCTAAAAAATTCTAACTTCCAGTTTTGTACCACGTAAATACTGATGCTGCTAATTAATATATTTAGACCTAATAACTCATTTGTAATCAGTCAGTCAACAAACACTTATTCAGAGCTTGTTATGTTCCTGGCACTGGGCTAGATGCTAGGGATAAGAAGAAAGACAAAAGCAATCCCTGCCCTTGAAGAGCTCACCCTTTAATGGGGGAGATAATATTCGAACAACTATGTGTACACAAGGTGTCAAGGCAGGGTAATGGAAGGTAATTTTGAAGGGAAGACACTAGCAGTGTGAGGAATTAGTAGGAATGGAGATTTTCACTGAGCCTGGAAGGAAGCCGGGAATCCAGCAGGCGCATGTGAAGATTCTGGAGCTGGAGCCACCCCTGTGTGAAGAAGAACAAGTGGGCTGGTCTAGCTGGGTCTCTGAGTATATGGGGGAGAATAAGGTTTAATAAGACTGTGAAGGTAGGAAGGGGCCAGGGTAAGAAGGGCTTTCAGTGCCAGAGGACTTTATACTTGATTCTGGAGGTCCTAGGGAGCCACCGGAGTCTGAGTTGGGGAGGGCCATGGTCAGACCTAAATTTAATGAAGATCATTTTGGCAGCTGAGTGGTAGATGCTTGGAGCAGGAGAGACTTGGGGCAAAGATGATAACTAATACCTAGAACATCTAGCACGTGATGTTGACCGAGTCATCGGGAATCTTTAAAAATGTTTTCATTTCATTGGGAAGAGTGGAAGGAACACTAGAGTTGGAGTCATGGCCTGGGTTCAAAGTGTTTGTTAGCACCCTTGTCACCCTGGGCCTCAGTCTCCTTATCTCTAGAATGAAAGGGCTGAACCAGGTGATAGCGATACCTTTCTAGCTCTGATTCCCATGATCCTCTTTGAATGCAGTTCAAAGATCTCTGACCTTCCAATTAAATCTCCGAGCTCTAAAGAATAATTCTGACCCTAGTATAGCATTTGCAAACCTAGCACTGAGCCCTGGCATATATAGAACGTTTGGTGGGAATAACATGTTTATGGTGGTGTTGGGAAAACATCCTGAATTGAGCAAGACGGCATCAGAATAGAGCAGTTATCAAGCTCAAATAGAAATGGATCCCTCCAGGCAGTATGATGACTTAGAAAACTACCAATTAATATTACCTATATTGTGTTGTAGAGGATAGCCTGGCCTGAAAGGCCACTGAGGCCACTTTGAAACCTAAGATTCTCTGATACCATGAGAGTAGTACTGTACTTGGTTCCCTAAATTCACGAGGGTTCGAGATTTCTTTCATAGGATGATCCAGGAGCCAGTGCTTGAGACTTA